GGGTGGGGAAGACCTGAGTCTCTGCCACGCGATCCAGGGGCGCAGAAGAGGGAGGAGGGGGCGCTCCCTACCTCACCCCACCCCGGTCTCAGAGACCTAACTCGGAGATGAGGTTCGGTTCTGGGTCTCCTCGACCCTATTGCTGGGAAAAAGCCTGGGGCACCCTGGAGGGGAAGGGAGGGGGCTCGGGGTGGGTCTCCCCTCGGGACCCTATTGCTTGAAGGGGCCGGGAAGGCCCCTGGCGGGCGGGGCGGGGCCGGGCCCCCTCCCCCTATTGCTGTGAGGAGGGGCCCGCCCTCCGGCCCCTCCGCCTGGTCGCCGGCGGAGACCTCCCTGGGGGCCCGTATTGCTGAGAGCCAACCCGTCTGGCGGAGGTACCGCCGCCCTAGGCCTGCACAGGGCTGAGCTGCGGCGGCGCGGTGGGCGCAGGGGCCGGGGGACCGCCGCCGGCGGCGCCCTTGAAGCAGGCCGACTCGTAGTGCTTGTTGAGATAGGACTTGAGCGCGAAGCTCTTCTTGCAGCGCTTGCACTGGAAGTGCTTGAAGGCGGAGTGCGTCTGCATGTGCGCGCGCAGGTTGGAGCGGTCGGCGAAGGCCTTGCCGCAGTGCGCGCAGCCGAAGGGCTTCTCGCCGGTGTGGGAACGCATGTGGCCCTGCAGCAGCCAGGGCCGCGAGAAGGCCTTGCCGCACACGCCGCACTTGTGGCGCAGGTCGTGCGTGAGCAGGTGCATGGCCATGGCCGGCATGGACACGTACACCTTGCCGCACGTCGGGCAGCGCCGCGCCAGCTGGCTGTCCAGGCTGCGGTGCGTCTGCTTGTGGCGGCTCAGGTTAGACGACGTGGCATACGTTTTGCCGCACTCGCCGCACGCGTGCCGGCCTCCGGAGCTGCCGGCCCCAGGCCCCGCGCGCGCCTCGGTGCCCGCCCCCGCGCGCGCGCCGCCCCGACCCCCAGCCCCCGACCCCGCACCGCGCGTGCCCGCCCCGACCCCGCCTCCGCCGTCGCCGTCCGGGGCAGCCGCCGAGGCTGAGGAGGGGGCGGCGGCGGCGCTGGCGTTGGCTGCCTTACGACGGGAGCGCCCGTCAGTGATGAAGAAGGCGTCAGCTGCGTAGCCCTCGCTGACCGCCGCGTCGCCGTTGATGTAGCCACCCGCGGCTGTGGCCAGCTCCGGGCGCGGGGTGGGCGGCGGCGCCGAGCCCGCGGCCGCCGGGCCCAGCTCTCCCCGCACGGCCGCAGCGTACATGGGCTCCGGGGATGGCCCTTTGAGCAAGGCCGCCTCGGCATCGCCATCGTAGACGGAGGCGGGCCCCGCGTAGTCGCTGAGGTATCCTAAGGGCCGAGGTGGACAGACAGGCAGACAGCGGGAGGGGAACCGGGCAGCAGGCAAGACACACAGGAGGGTGGCGAGAGACACCGGGGCCGGCAAGAAGGGAACGGGGAGGACAAAGGATAAGGGGCCGAGGGAGAGTGGGGCAGGGAGGATGGCGATGGCAGAGAAGGGAGGAGAGAGAGGAAAGATGAGCCAAGGCCTGGCCGGGCTGCACCCCGCCCTCGCTGGAGGAGGGAAAGACTCGCATCTTCGGGCGCGGCTGCCCCCCCCCCCCGCTTCCGCGGAGCTTCAAGGTCAGGGGGGAGGGGCGGCGCTTCCCTCGCCCTTCTTTCCCTCCTCCCCTCCCCCTCTCCCTCCCCCTCGGGTTCTCCCCACTTCAGCAGTTTTTCTTGATTATGCAACACACTGCAGAACCGCAGCGCACAAAGCCAGGACCGCCTGTCCAGGGACCCCATCGCTCCTGCTCTCACGGTTCCCACTGGCTCATCCACCGTGCCCAGCCCCTGTGTCCAGCCTCGGTGCTGCCCTGTTCTGGTGCTCCGGGTCTCCCAACAAGCCTCGGAGAATTCTACCTCCCTTTCATCTTCCAGGTCTCCCACTGCTCACTAGATCTGACCACCTTCCACCAGCCCTGTCTCCCTCCATCCACTCTCTTTCTCCCCACTCCACTCCTTTCCGTCATCCTGCACCGTTGGGTACCACCTTGTTCCACATTACCCCTTCCCCCCAGGCCCTAATCCTTTGTGGGGCCTTCCTGAACCCCAGGAAAGGTGACCAGGAAGACACTGTGTTGGAGGCAGTGCCAGGGCATGCACCAGTGGACACCTTCACAGGGACAAGCTGCAGGCAGGCAGCATTATTCATGCCTGCAACTGCAGTTGTTCTCAAGGCATGAGATGGATCTCACAACCTCAAAGTCTCAAATACACACCCCACACGACGAAAGAGTCTGGCTTCTTCAGAGTTACCCTCAGCCTCTCAGACTCTCAATTCTGGAGTCCCCTCAGGGTGGGCCGCACCCTGAGCCAGGCCTGCACCACCTACTCACGCAGGGTCAGACATGCAGCCAACCAGACACACTCTCAGCTGGGGTTGCCAGTCACATGGGCACATAGCGGCCTCAGAGTCACATGGTCCCATGTAGTGGCACACAAGACAGGCACACACTCATACAGGGTCACACACAAGTGAACATAGTCACATGGCCACACGCAGTCACATGGGTGCACACAGGCTCGCACACAGGCTTATGTTCCTGCAGGTCACACTTGTTTTACCACCCCAGGCTGCTGGCACTCCCAGCCCCCTTGCCCACTTGCTAGCAATTGTCCTTGGATTTGGGCGCCCTGACACAAAGAGCCTCCCCCTGCCTCCAGCACTTGGACTTCCCTGCCCACAGCCCACCTGCCCACACCCTTCTCCCTGACCCCGCTCCAGGGACAGGGGCACTGCTGCTGCCTCTGCCCCGACAGGTGGGCGGCCCCCACTGGACCACATGGCTACTCCCTGGAGCTCCTAGCACTTCCTAGCAGGGGAGGCTAGAGGTGCAGCCAAAGAAAAGAAGAGGGTTCTGAGGCAGGCTGTTTTCTGAGTGTGGTCTGCATACATTGCTGGGTCCTGTCATGTCAGCAGGGTCCATTCTGTGTTGGACAGGGCGTGGGTCAGTGTGTTCTTCCTGTTCCTGACCCCTGTTCCCCTCATTCTCTCCTGCATCCACGCTCTTGCTGCCCAACCTTGGCTCCGTTCTGGCCTGCCTCTGCGTTCCCCTCTCCCTACCCCCATCCCCTCCCAGGTCCTCTTCAGCCACTGCCTCCTGCTGGTTCTGGTTCCTCCCGAGCCTATTGCCTGGGGCTCCTGGTCCCTCCAGCCCCACTCTATGACCCTCTACCCCTTCCAGCACTGAGCCCCTTGCCCGCCAACCCCCAGCCCCATCCCAGCTCGCACCTTTCTCCTGCAGTCGCACGCCGAGGTCGCTCCGGGCGCGCCCGTAGGAGCTCTCGAGGTCTGCCGAGGAGAATGTGTCAAGTTTGACCTTCTTGACCAGGAAGGATCTGGGCATGATTCCTGCGGGGCTCCGGCGCTGTGGGCCTGCGGAGCCGGGACGCGGGGGGGCTGCGGCCGCGGCGGGGCCCCGTCACCATCCGAGGAGCGGCTGAGGCAGCGCGGGTCCCCACTCTGGCCTCTGGATGCTGCCGCGCGGTGCCGTCCTCTCTCCTGCCTGCCCGTCCTGCGTTTCCTCCTCTGCTGCTCCGGACCCCTTTTTCTCCTTCCTTCCTTTTCTTCTATTCTTCACTGCTCTTCTCTTCTCTCTTCTCTTCCTTCGTTCCTTCCTTTCCTCCTCTGGTCCCGGCTTCCCAGCCCGCAGTGCCGCCCCTGGACAGGCGGGGGAGGAGGCTGGGGGGGGGGGGGGCGGGGAGGGGGGGAGCGGCTCCGTCCCGGGCCCGGAGGCTGCGAGTGGGTGCAGGGCTGGCCCGGCTCCGCGGCCCCCTTCCCCTCCCCCCCGCCGCCGCGGCGGAGCCTCAGTCAGCGACCCCCCATGCCCCCGGAGGTAGCGGCGCGGGGCCTGGAGAAGGCGGCGGCGGCGGCGGTAGTGCCGGCAGCTTCAGCACCGCGGCCAGCGCCGGCCCAGCCAGCACCTCGGCCAGCGACCGGGCGCGCACACCCCGAACGAGCGGCGAAGGGCGGGCCGCGGGGGCTCGGCCGCCGGGCGGGGGTCCTCGGCGGGGGTCTCTGGGAGGCTTGCTTTATTGTTCTGCAGCCGGAGCGAGCGGCGGCGGCGACGGCGGCGGGCGGGGGGCGGGGGTCCTGGGGGGGAGGGGTGCTCGGGGAGGGCGGGACGAGGGAAGGTGGGAGGGAGGGATGGGGGCTCCGGGGGCGGGGCTCGGCGCTCGGACAGCTCCCGGGCCCAGCCTCCTGCGCCCGCGGCCGCCTCTGCCTGCGGCCCGGCCCAGCCTCCGGCTTTTAAAGCCCAGGAGCGACGGCAGGGGGAGGGAGGGGTGGGGGAGAGGACGGCGGAAACGGCTGCGCGGAGCCTGGCCCCCGCCAGGGTCTCCTGGGAGGGGTCTTGGGGATGCCACGGTCCCAGCTCGTGTGGAGTTCCCCCGAGAGGCTCCGGGAACGGAGGCCCAGACGTCTGCAGCATTGTGCGGCGTGGGAGGAGAGGTGGGAGCAGACCTAGGGCCCACGAGCCCGGACTCGGGATCTTTGAGGGAAGAACACAGGGCGGACCCCAGAATGGTGGGTCCGGCCAGCCCAGCTGTCGGGTGTGGAGGCGAGGGATCTGCGGGGGCAGGTGGGGGAGGCGAGCGAAGAAGCAGCGAATGCTGAGGCAGCGAAAGCGCTGTGTGGAAGTGCTGCGCGCACCCTGTGCCGCAGTGTCCCTGCCCCTCGGTCACCCGGGCTGACCCCGTGCCTGCTGGAGAGGCCTTCTGCACCCCCGCCCTTCCCCCAAGGGGCGGAGGTCGAGCGCAGCTGCGACGCAGCGAGCGGAGTGTGAAGGCGGAGAGGGGGGCTGTTGTGCCCTTGCTCCAGAAATTCGGTTTCACTTGTGGTTTTCCGCCCTCCCGCGCGCCTGCAGCTCCCCCACGCGGCCCCGCAACCAAGCGGATAACCCTTCCCCCGGCCGCCCGCCCAGAGTTTACAGCCCGCATGACGTCTGGCCCAGCGACCAATGGCTGGCGCGGGGGTGCGGGGAGTTCCGGGCCGCACAATGGCCGCGCGCGGGGACATATGTCCCCAATTAGGGCCTGGCGCCGCCATTGTCCCCTCACGCGCCCCCGCCCTTGGCTCGGGTCTCCCTGCTCCGAGCGCGCCCCCAAGCGGCCGGCTGTCTCTGGGGACCAAGGTCGCAGGGGCGGCCTCGGGACTGTGCGGGCGCGCCGCGGCCGGGAGCGCGTGCGAGGCGGGGGCGCGCGCACCTGTCGCGGCGCGCGGTGACCTTGTGCGGGGCTTCTCGGCGGGCCCGCGGACCCGGCCGGACGCGCGGCTAGAGGGCTGCTCCGGAGGCGCGCTTTCGGCGGCGCGCCGCCGCCCGCCGATCTCTCAGCTTCACCTAGCGTCGCAACACAGGAGCCGAGCGAGCGTGGCTGTGAGCGAACGGACCCGGCGCGGGGCGCGGCAGGGACCGCAGACCCGCTTTGTGGCGGCGGCGGGATATTCATCTTGCGTGGCTGGTGCTCCCGAGGGGCGGGAACGGGACGCGGCAGTCCCCTTATCGCGGAGCTGCAGCCGGCGGGGCCCGCAGTGGGGGCGGGGGCAGGGATCCCGCTCGGCCGAGCGGCTCATCCCTGCGCCTTCCCGGGGGGCCCGGCGGAGGCGCAGCCGGAGGCGCGAGGCCAATTAGCATTTTGATTGCGGGACTGGGGGCCCATCTGGACCGAGGCCTAATTACCGGGCGAACCCTCGGGGCGCCAGCGGGACGTGCCAGGCGCAGTCCCTTCAGCCGGAGCTCCCCACCTCCCGCAAAGTCCGCCCCAACACTGCGGTCGGACCGCGTCCCTGTCCACCTCTGTTGGTCCCATCGCCCCGTCGTCTGTCGTGCGTTTTTGTTCCTCCACCTCGTCCTCTTTCACTCCCTTTACCCGTCCTTGGCCCCACTCCGCACCTCTTTCCTCAGTCACATTCCTCCATCGCCCTCCACTTTCCCCTCATCTCTGTCTTCATTCAGGCTTTCTTCAGCCAACTTCTCTGTTTCTCCTTCCCCGGCTCCTGGTGCCAGTTCCTGCCTCTCTGTCAATTTCCCATCCCCTGGCTCCCAACGCTCTTGATGACAGGGCAGTGTCAGAGCACGACACATGTGTCCCCCCGCCAGGCGCTCCCAAGGGGATCATCTGGGCCGCCCTTGCTTGCCCTCTCGTGGGTAGAGCCTGCAGCCCCTGGGGCGCTCAGCAGGGAGGGGCAGCTGGGCCTAGGCCCTGGCCATCAGTCCAGAACAGTCAGAGTGTGGAGTGCACATGGGGCCTGTGAACAATTACTCAGTCCTCCTCGCCTGCCTCCTTTCAGGCACCCTGAGGTCGAGGTCACTGTGTCCCACGATGGGGTCCAGCTGACCAGGGAGAAGCTGGGAAAGGACAGTTGGAGATACTAACGCTTTTGGAAAGTTGCAGCCCCTTCCCCTCGGGCCACCATGAGTCTTCCACTGGGGCCTTTCTGCGGAAGAGGAGACCGGGGTCTCAGTGGCAGACCCAGTGGTTCCGAGCACTCCAGCATCCCAGGTGTGTGTACGCACTGCACCCCGAGGAGCCTCTCAGCCTGAAGGTCTCAGTTGCCCCATCCTGCTTCACATTGCAGCATCAGCTCCTTATCCATGTCAGATGGGAAGGATTTGGTGTTGGTTCTGTGTTTCTCTGCCTGCCTCTGCTTCTAGGTGTGTGAGGCCTGGCAGGTCCCAGGTAACCAAAAAGTCAGACTTTAGGGGGAGACTCGCAGGTATTTTACTACACAAGAAATGAGGCTTCACCAGAAAAGACATTAAACAACAAATATGCAAATTCAGATTTTGGGGTTTGTTTTGTTTTGTTTTTTACATTTCATTATAGAAAATATCAGATATGCACAAAAGTGTAGAGCGTCAGACTGTGTGCCTGTCACCACCATCACCTAAGACCAGTTCACAACCAATCTGGGCTCATCTCTGTCCCCCCCCCCATCACAAACTGCCACTTTTCTCTTAGGAAATAAAGACATGAGAGCAGGTGGGCCTGGCTGTTGTATCAGAGACCCCCAGCCTCCTGCTCTGAGTTGATCTAGCCCTGCCTGGGGATACCAGGAAGTCCCAATAGGCTCTGCCTGCTTCCTTTTTGGGGAGGAGCATCCCCTTAGCCTGCTGTGTCCAGGGTCTCCAGCTGGCTATTGGTGAGGCCAGCCTCCCCAAAGTGGCCCAGGTCCCTCCTCAGTCCAAGGGATCCAGCTGCCAGAACCACTCACAGTCTCCGTTTCTCATCTTCAGCCTAAGCTGTAACTCCCAGAGAATTGAAACACCTTTGTGCCCGAGTTCCACGTGTTAACATGGTGTCTGCCCGATCAAGTCACCAGGGACTTGAGTCCAGGAGTGTTCTTTGGGGAGATTTAGAGGAGGCTCCAGAGCAGGGGCAAAGTGAGCCCTGGGGAGGAGGGAGAAGGTGACCAGAGAAAGGCCAGCGCCAAGGTCGGCTCTGGCAGCGGGCAGCCGGCTGCCATCCTGCCTGCACTGCAGAGAGGCTTGATGGGTGGTGGCCTGGCAGCCTGTACTTCCTGATATAGTGTGGGCCCCGTATGCTCGTTTCCCTGACCTTGCCACGGGGTTGCCACTTTCATTCAACATCTGCTCTGGGACTTGGTGCCCATGGCCTGGAGCAGGCTCCTCCCCTGGTCTCCCCAGACCGAGGACAGGCTTGGGGCCTCCTCTCTGCTGCCCATTTAACCTTCTCACTCTCACAGGAACCTGAGACCACACTTCCTCACCAAGGGCACTGGTCAGTCTTCTAAACACTTGCTGGCCTACGTCCCACCCTCCATTGCCACTCCTGGGACTTTTCTCTGGGGTACACACATGACACATGGCCTCTATTGTCCTCCTGGGAAGGACTCTGGTTCCATTGCCTACGGGGGACACCTTCAGCTGTCAGAGGCTCCAGGGGTTGCCCCTGGCCCCACATCCCAGCCTTCTAGTGGTGACCAGCACCCAACAGCTGATCAATGTGGAAGGCAAAGACCTGGCATCTCAGCCTGATGCGTGATGTCTCTGGTGAGCCATCCTGGCACTGGAGCCCTCGAAGGTGCTGGGCTGGCCTTGGCCCTCCTGCTTTCTCTCTTTCCTCCTCAGGGTTGACCAAAGGGCATGTCCTCACACTGCTGCCTCAGTGGCTCCCTTTTTGAGAACCTAGACAGGCGTCAGGAACAAACGGTCCAAGAAGGCAGGCAGCAGGAACTTGGGCAGACTCACCCACTGCCTGGCTGGCAGTGAGGACCCATCAGTGGTACAGGCAGAACTCAGGCCGAAGCAGAAGGCCGAGGTCTGATGGTTAGACCTTTGGCCAGCGGTGAGCAGGGATCACACAGCAGGGAGGAAATGTGGCAGCAGGCCCAGGACCTGGTGTTTGGGAAGTGCAGGAGCAGCAATCACCGAAGGGACTGGGGGTGGGATGGCTGTGGTTCAGCTCTATTGATGCCCCAGAGGCAGGACAGCAAGAGGCAGAGAGCTTTGTCTAGCTGCTGAAGGCCCAGCCCCTTGGTCACATGTACTGAGGCAGGCTCCCAACTCTGCAGCCAAAGTGCAGAGGGTAGTGAGGGTCAGGCCTTGACTTAAGCATCAAACTAGTTGAACTCCAGAGAAACTAAGGTGGATGTCACTTCCAGGACAGAGTGCAGTTACAGGAACCAGATTTACCACCCTACCTGGAACAACTAGAGAACTGGACAAAATAGGGCTTCCCTGGTGGTCCAGTAGTTAGGAATCTGCCTTGCAGGGGACACGGGGTCGATCCCTGGTCCAAAAGGATCCCATGCGCCACAGAGCAACTAAGTCCATGCAACACAACCACTGAGCCTGTGCTCTGTAGCTCACAAGCCACAACTACTGGAGTCTGGCACCCTAGAGCCCATACTCTGCAACAAGAGAAGGCACCGCAAGGAGAAGCCTGAGCACCGCAACTAGAGAGTAGCCCCTGCTCTCCACAACTAAGGAAAGCCTGCACACAGCAACAAAGACCCAGTGCAGCCAAAAATAAATAGCTTTTTAAACTGGACAAAATAGATGAAACAATGGGCCTCAAGACATTGGTACTGGGCAGCAAAGGACAGTGACCCCTGAGAGGGCCATACCCAAGAAAGGACACCTGAGGAACCTCATTTGTATGTGGACTTGACTTAGAAGCAAGATCCTGGACTTGCAGTCTGAGCTGAGTTCTGGGATGGGAAGAGACGCTGGAGGTCTTGGGAGGAGCCAGATGGTGGACTGTGGTGGGCTACTTACATTCGTGGCTCCCAGGATCCTGCTGGTACTCACACATTTGGTAGATCCTTCCCATTCTGGCTCTGGGTTTGGCCACATGACTTGCTTATCCATGGGGATATAGTATGAATGATGCATGCAGATGGTGCACACTGTGGCCCCTGGATCTTGTCCTCTTATAACACTCCCTCTTGCAAGCCAGCAGCAAGATAGTCTGCTGAATATTGAGACACTTGAAAAGAGGCCCTGGAGGATGGGGGTCATCTTGGACATTCTGGCCCCAACTGAGATCCCAGCTGATGCAGCCATATGAGCAATTCCAGCTACACATATGGAGTGGAACCACACAGCTGAGCCCAGCCAGCCCACAAAACCATGACAAGTACATCATTGCTGTTTGAAGCACTGGAGATCAGGGTGCTTCTTTGTATCCACTTGTCTTCCACCCTTGAGTCCTTCCTTCACTGTTCTGCCTGCCCAACTCAAGTCCCACCCTGGATTCCTTTCCAGCCTGCATCCAGCCCACCTGCAAATCCTGTCTGCTATGGCCTCAGTGGGGCTCAGACCTGCCCACGATCCTCTCTGTTCCCCTGTGCCCTTCTCTCCCTGCACAATTCCGGCAGCCTTCCTTCCAGTCCTTCCCCACACCCTCCTCAGATGGCAGTACATCTGTGCTTACAACTCCCCAGAGATTTCCCGAGGCCCCGGTCCCCTTCCTCAGCCCAGCCTGTCTTCTCATGGCTTCTCCTACACGTCCAGTTCCACCCTGCATCACACCCTCACACTCCCTCTTCCCAGAAGTCTCTCCCCCAGAGCTCCACACGATCGCTCCACACTTCTCATATCAGCTCAAATGCTGAATCCTTGCAAAGCCCCAATCCCCTAGCTGGAGGAACCCCACCCTCCTCCAGTCACTTTGCCGGCAAAGAAGTATGCGCTTCAACCTGGGTCACCCTTAGGTCATCAGCTCCAAGTAGGTAGAGGCTTTGGGTCACTGGGTGGAAACAAAGCCCACCCTAAAGCCTCACTGACTGACCGAGTGGAGCCCAAGCTTCTGGAGCCCAGGCAGCTGGCATGCCTTTCTAACCCCTGTCCACATCTGACAGACAGCCTGGGCATCCCAGGCCTGGCTTGGTCACAGGCACTCACCCAGGCAGCTGAGCCCCTGGCTCACATTCCACACTCCATACCTCCCTGCTGCACTGACCCCCAACCTAACCCAGTACCTCCACAGCTGGGCTCTGCCCAACTTCTTGAGCCCATCTCCTGGTAGAACCCCTCCTGAGAGGTAGGGGTTCCTAGCCTTGAGCCATGAACAACAGTTGCTCCCTGGGATTGCCTAAAGCCATCCGCCTAGCCTCCAGACTCCACTCCAGAGATGTGCAGAGATGCTGGAAGCCAAAAAGTGAGCAACACTGAGCCAGGGGTCCAGGCAGTGTCTGGGAGCCAGTGCTTGGTTTAATGCTCCAGTGCTGCCATCTGGAAATTAATAACTTTTTAACAAGGACCTCTGCATTTTCATTTTGCATGGGGCCCTGCAAATTATGCAGGTGGTCCTGGTTCCAGGGACACTAAGCTGGCATGAAGCACAAAGACCAGACTGGGGTCATGGACATGGCCCTGAGGAAAAACCCTGACAGGAAACCGAGGTGACTTCTCTGCTCCCACAGCAGCCTCCAGCACCCAGGAAGCAAAAACACCCGCTGCTCAGAAAACGTGGGACTGGGGCCCCACAACTCAGGCAGGAGCATGCTCCAGGGGCACTGTGGGTCTGTCCCCAGCAGGTCTTGAGCTCTGGCCCGGGTGCAGCAGCAACAATTCTGGGGAGTGGAGTCCACCAGAAGACACAGGGCTTGACTTTTGGCTGTGCCCTTGTTTCATTTCTGATTGGACTAGAAAAGGCATCTGGCCCAGACTGGACCAATCAGATTCTGACTCATTGGTCAGCACTTCTACTGAACATGGAAGGCAGTGTGTCCCACACGTGTCCTAGATGCCTGGCTGCTTGTCAGGCTCAGTCCCACTACTACCATTTTCCAACCCAAACTCCCCATTGCTTCCTGGAAGCCTCCCTGAGGCCCTGTAGGCTGTGCAGGAGGGAAGGATCCTGGAGAGGCAGCCCCTACTCGCACAAAGAAAACGACCTGCTCGAAGCAAGAGGTTGCTTTATTGAGAAGGCCAGTGGTAGGGTGGAGGCGGGGGATTGGAGGGGAAGGCAGAACGCCTCTTGGGGTGGGAGAGGGGTGGGTGCCTGCTGGCAGCATCACACGTCTGGGTCCCACTGAGGGTTCCCCCCATCGTAGGCCCCGGTCTTGCGCAGCAAGATGCCCGGGCTGAAGGCGGTCCCCAGCGGCCAGTGGCGGACCACGTGCCGGTATGACATGGCCAGGCAGTCAAAGTAGTTAATGTTGAGCTTCCTGGCAATGTACCGGCCCAGGTATTCCATTTGCTGTGTGAGCAGGTGGCGAGTGGAGGTCAGGTCAACTCTTGCTCGTCCCTCCCCTTGCCAAACCGCACCTCCAGCCCTGCCCATCAGCCCTGGCACCCTTTCTGCCGGCTACCAGCTTGAGGGCCCGGGCCAGGAGCCCACTGTATGCACCATCCAACTGCGAAATGGCCTCATCTTAAGAGCCTAAACAGTGGTCGGCGTCCCGTTGGACCGAGAGGGGAGAGAAGCGTATCTGCGCCCGCGGCGGGTTGGGTCGGACGCACCTCGTAGCGCTCCGACAGCTGCACCAGCACTAGCGGCTCCAGCTTGTGCCCGCACAGAACCAGCTGGAAGAAGCACCTTCGGTAGGCTAGTAAGGGGCAAGTTGCTCAGCCCCGGGACTCTGGGGAGCGGGAGCGGGGCTCCGGGGGCGGGGCGTGGGCCCGCGTGTCCGCCCCTCCCCACTCCACGTGACTTCCCGTCCCTTGCGCTCCCTCCCGTAGTCCGCGGCCCTTCCCTCGCATCACCGTCCGAGTTGAGCGCCAGGCGCACGTAGACCAGGTGCATGGGGCCCTGACACACGGTGCGGCCCTGGATGGAGAAGTGGTACACGCCGCGCGCGTGGTTCAGCACCAGGCGGCGCCGCGGCAGCGACGAGATCATAAGCCACAGGCCCACGCCCACGCCGTAGGCAGGGAAGCCCCAGGTCTCCTGCTTCTGCACCTGCGGGCGCCGCAGGGACTCCCTGAGCTGCCGCGGGTCCGGGCGCGGGGTGGGGCCGGGTCCCCGGGGTAGGAAGGTCGTGGGGGCGCGCCCGGGAGCTCAGACCTCGCTGACGAGGCCGAAGCTGATGAGCAAGATGCAGACTATGAAGAGCAGCGTCCCCTTCCACAGCGTGTCCAGGTAGTACTCGAGCACGAAGACTGGGGGCGGCGCGGCGAGGACGCGTGAGGACACCGGGCTCCTGCTCGCTGCCCGAGGTGGCAGCGCCAGGGCTCGGGCCCGGAACAGCCCGCCCCACGTAGGGCCCGGGCTCGCGGTCAGGGTCCAGCCTGCGGTTCCAGCGCTTAATCGGGCCGCAGCAGGCCGGGCCCGGGGCTCTGGCCCGGCCCGGCCCGGCCCGGCCCCGCCCCGCCCCGCCCTATTCAGATTCCAGGCCCCGCCCCGCATCACCCCCCGCACCCCCCCCCCCGCCCGTTTCAGCGTTGGAGTCCCGGTCCCTGACTTTGGTCCGCGCGCACCGTTGGGCTGCTGCTGCGTGAACGGGTAGAAACTGTTGTTCTTGAGGCGCCTGGCGAGGCTGCGCTCGGTGCAGAAGAGTCCTTGGGCCCAGAGCTGGAAGGGCTTACCGCTAGAGGTCGTAGGCAGGCCGCTGATCCGGCCCTTCGGGGCCTGGGTCGGGTACGGACAGTCAGATGGGCGGCTCATCTGTTGCCACTGCCCACTGCCCACAGCTACGCTCATACCTGGGAGAATAATGCCTCCAGGGCCGCGGTCAGGAAGGAGCAGGAGCTCTGAGACGAAGACAGGGGAGCGACACCAGGTGGCCGTCTAGGCTGCGCGGCGCCGGGTTCTAGAAGCTCTGGGTAGTTGGTTCTAGAAGGGACCTTTCTGTTGTGGTGGGCGTGAACTTCCCGGCTAGCCCCTGCCCCACTGGAGGCCCCCCTATACAGCCTGGCTCACATTACGTGCTCGGATCACGCCTGCCGGCCTGCACGATGTGCCATATCAGGGTCAGTGCTTTATGGGTGGTAGGTGGGCAGGCAGGATACAGGGATCCTTGCCCACCCAAAGCTCATGCTCACTCCTCTCACCTCCAGAGCTGGAGCAGCTTCACCTGGGCCTGTACGGCATGTCAGACCGGCTGACTCTAGCCAAGGAAGGCAGCCCTCTGCTCACCCAGAAGTAGTATCAGTCTGTGGGAGCTGGACTTGAGTGGCCAGGGCTTCAGTGAGAAGGACCTGGAGCAGGCCTTAGCTGCCTTCTCAGGCACCCCTGGGTGCTCCCAGCTGGCCTGTACTCCTTCAGGGCTCGGGCCCAGAACGGCCCGCCCCACGTAGGGCTCGGGGCGCCTTCGGGCGGGTTCAGCCTGGATTCCAGCGCCAAATCTGGCGGCAGCCGGCCAGGCTAGGGGCCCCTCGCTTCGGCCCCGCCCCCGCCCCCGCCCCCGCCCGATTCCAGTCCCCGCCCTGCGTCCCAGCCTTTTAGTCCCTGACTGGGGTCCAAGTCAGCCTTAACAGTGAGGCACCCCAGGCCTAAGTTGGAGAGAAATCGGCAGGCAAGTGCCCACAAGGAGCCCATGACTGAGCGTGATCACCCTCTGTCCATTGCTAGCTCTGTCCTAGTCAGCCTCACATACTATCAGAGGCAGCTCACCTTAGTGCCCTAGGGTGGGTCACACATGCACACACACTCAGTCCAAGAGGGAACTGGCAAGACACAGCCACAGGCAAACTCAGGAACTCTGGGGGATAACCCAAGTAGTTCCCTCAGGGACAACCCCTGTCCCCTCACTCTGATCCCAAAGACCACACAAGAGTTCCAGAAAAGGTTTTATTATAACACAACACTCAAATATCCAAAACTGGGAAAAGGGGCAGGGCAGGGCTGGCTGGCAGAGGGGCCTGGAGCTGCCTAGCTGGGGGAGGGGAGGCTGGTGAGCAGCTGCTCCAGGCACCATTGGACTTCCTCTGGGCCTCTGTAGGCCTGCTTCAGGCCCCGGGGAAGGCAGCGGCAGGATTCCAGGTTGAGGTACAGCAGACCTGGGCAGCTGCTTATCACAGAGCTGTGGAGGCAGGGCAGGCCATGGCAGGTTAAGCACTGGCAGGGCTGAGCCAGTCTACGGAACCCTTGCTACCCTTGCACCAAAGCTGGCTACGCCCCCTACACCCATTGAGGCCCACCCTGAGTACCCTGGGTGTCCCTAAGGCCAACCCCAAGCAGGGGCTTGGCCCATATGGGCTCCCTTTTCTGACCCCTGGAGCTGGCAAGCCACGCAGGATGGGAGCTAAGCTATGCTGGCTCCAAGGAACTAGGGGGTTGCTAACCTAACTGTGCCTGGTGTGACTCGAGTGCCCCTGAGGTTGAGGGAGCACAGGGCCAGCTGGGAGCACCCAGGGGTGTCTGAGAAGACAGCTAAGGCCTGCTCCAGGTCCTTCTCACTGAAGCCCTGGCCACTCAAGTCCAGCTCCCGCAGACTGTGACACCACTTCTGGGTGAGCAGAGGGCTGCCTTCCTTGGCTAGAGTCAGCCGGTCTGACATGCCGTACAGGCCCAGGTAAAGCTGCTCCAGCTCTGGAGGTGAGAAGAGCGGGTATGAGCTTTGGGTGGGCAAGGATCCCCGCATCCCGCCTGCCCACCTGCCACCCAGGAAGCACTGACTCTGACACGGCAGATCATGTAGGCCAGCAGGCGTGATCCGAGCACAGCCGCGCAGATCCAGCAAGCGCAGGTGAGGGGAGCCGTGGAGCAGGCGGCCCAGGACTTCGTTGCTCACAAAGTTACAGGTGGAGCTAGCAAGGCAGAGCTCCTCAAGGCTGGGGAAACCTGGGCCAGGAGTTATCACTCGCCCGGAAGGCTTGGGCAGCCATGTCAGGTTCAACAGCCGCAGCACCTGGGAGCAAGGCCCAGGCTGCAGATGGGGAGGGGGGTGACAGGTGCAAGAGATGGGGCGTCAGGTACCTGCAGCTGGGGACAGCCTTTCTGCAGGGCCTCGACAGGCAGCTGGAAGGGAGTGATGTTGTGGCTGAGGCCAGTGCTCACCTCCAGGACCTGGAGCTGTGGGCAGCAGCTGCCCTGTAGAGATGGGGAAAACCCGAGGTCGGGTGTTTGGCAGTCCCTGGCTTGGCATCCAGCTCTGCTCCTGACTGTCACCAACCTACCAGCAGTGCACCCAAGATGGCTGTTGTCTGGGGGTTGTAGGTCAGCCACAGCTTCCGCATTCGGGGTCCAGCTTCCTCCAAGAAGCTTACCACAGCCGTGGACTTCACCTAGGGACCCAGCAGAGGGGTACCTGCCACCTCAGCCCAGGCTTCCTTGGGGCCCCTGGGGACATAGGGCTCACCATTGAGTGCTGTATGTCCAGGCTGTGGAGCTGAGGGCAGGCTTTGGCTAGCATGATAAGAGCTTCAAGGGTCACACCATGACAGTCAGAAAGCTTGAGGAAGGTGAGCCGAGGACAGGACTCACTAACCAGCTATGGAAGACAGAGGGCCAGCTGGGGGTTGGAGAAAGGCAAGGGAAAGAGACCAACGGCTGGTGCCAGCGCCACTTCATTGTCTCAGCAATGAGCTCCTTTCTGGCCATACCAGGCCTACCTGGGTGGTCCCACTTTTCACTCCTCCCTCCTGGAGGAGATGCCAGGAAAAGAAAACCAAGCAGGCATCCTCATGGGGCATCATTGGGCCCCCACGGTACCTGACTCACTTCCTGGAAGTACTGGGCAACCCAGAGTGTCATGGCTGATGTGTAGGGCAGCCTCCCGCTCTCACCTTCAACACAGGGTGTACCTGGGACTTCCAATGGATGAGAGTCAGCCTCTGGAGCTGTGAGAACCTGGGCGGACCGCAGAGGCAGAGCTGCAGGCTGTTTCCTTGCTTCCCTTCTGCCAGCGTTCTCCCCGCCCATCCCCTTGGTGCGGGGATGCAGGAAGGGGCCTGGGGCTTTCAAACAACACAAAAGTGATGTGAGGGAGTAAGAAAAACATGGAATTCCTCACCGATTAGGCATAAGCCACTCCAGGGAAGAAAGGAGCTTCTTCTCAGCCTTGGCCCCACTCTTGGCAGGGCGGCCAGCCAGCGGGGGACACAGGGTCAGGGTGTGCCAGAGTGCAGGCTGGGAGGCGGCCTCGTTCCAGCGGCGGCACACGCGGGCAGCCCTGGGAGAAAGGATCTGCTGAGGGGCCGGGCCTTCTGTGGCCGACGCTCGCCCTCATTGGCTGCCGCTATGGGGTTTCGTAAGAGGGACCTGCCCCCCGCAACTCTCACAGCGCCGCGGTCAGTTCAAAGTGTGGCCCCGGGGTTCCAATTAGACCCTGAGAGACTGCTGCCGTGGACACGTTTGTGGGCGCTAGGGCCCCCGCTGCGTGCCTATTCGGTCGGCCTGAGCTACGGCGCTGCGCGCAAAGGGCCTAGGATACCTGCCGAGAAAGGGTATAGGCCCATCCGCCGCCACCAGCAACCCGAAAATCTGCAGCAGGATTTCCAGGGGAACGCGGTCGCCCCAGCCCGGGTCGGGCTCCTGCAGCGGTGTGGGCGCGGGCGGGGAACTGGGCTTGGCCTCGGCCGCGCGGGACCCCGGGGACCGCAGCCGCCGAGCTTGGCGGGCGACGCGTCTCTGCGCGCGGAGGCGGGCGGGCCCCGGACCTGGCAGCACCAGCAGCATGCTGTCCGACTGCAGCAGGTGGTACCCTGAGCCGCTCGGAGCAAGTCGGTCCCACCACCAGTCTTCCGCCGAGCGGGTCTGCGCCGCGGCCGGGTGCACGAGCCGGACTCGGCGCCGGGCCGGGCGGGCCAGGCCTGCAGCCCCTGAAGCCATAACCGTTCGCCGGGATCCAGGTTCCACCGGGGGGCGGAAGGGGCGGGCCCCATGGCGGAAGGGCGGGACAGGGGCGGGGCCTGGAACTCGGGTCGGCCCCTCGCTATTGTTAGTACCTGACTTCCGGGGCAGGGCTTCCGGCGCTGGGCCGGGTCGGCAAAGCGCGTTCGCCGAGGCCCGGCGGGTGAGTTGCGGCTCTCGCTCCGGCTCAGCTGCGTCTTACCTCTACTGTCGTGGCCCGGGGCGGAGGCGGCGCCCTCAGACTGTGGCTGGACGGACGGCAGCGCTCAGGATCAGGACCGGGAGGTGCGGGACCTGAGCGCACCGGTCGGCACTCCGCCGCTCCCCGACGTAGGGCGGGGCGCTTCCCGCCGCGGTCACACCCCTAGCCCCGACTCGGCTCCGACTGTCCCGCGGCTCGCAGAAGCCGCAGCGGTGTGCGGCGCCCTGTCCCGGAGTCCTTGTTCCGTGTCCGTAGGTGCGAGTGTGGTGGCGGCGGTCTCGGCCACTCAGACCCGAAGGTCATCTCTCTCTTTACTCCTTCTGCCCTGGGCTTCGACGCTTCCCGCTACCCTGCCTGTCTGCGGGGTACGTGTATCCTGGTGTGTCCCGGGTTTGCCTGACCCCTCCTACCTCCCATACCCCACCCCTGGCACCCCACTCAGTATCCCTGGTCTTGGCCGCCTGGTGCTCTCCTTACTCCGGTTTTGTGTTTTCTGTTGTGATCCTGCATGAGAGTCTATTCCCTTCAAGCCAGACCAGGTTTTCAGTTCCCAGAGCCGAAGCATCTTCTTTGGACCTAGGTGGGGAAAAGAAGAGCTGGCTGTGACCTTTGCCCTGTCCTGGAGGCTCCAGCCTTGGCCTGAATGGCAGCACCCCCGCTGGGCCGTCTGGTGCTGACCCACCTGCTGGTAGCCCTCTTTGGCATGGGCTCATGGGCTGCAGTCAATGGTATCTGGGTGGAGCTGCCTGTGGTGGTGAAAGACCTACCCGAGGGTGAGTCGGGGGGCGAGGCTGCAGCTGCTCTCCTTCCCTGGGCGTCCTGCCCCTGACACGGCTGCCTTCTTTCTTTGCTTGCAGGTTGGAGTCTGCCCTCCTACCTCTCTGTGCTTGTGGCTCTGGGGAACCTGGGCCTCCTGGTGGTGACCGTGTGGCGGCGGCTGGCCCCGGGCAAGGGCGAGCGGGTCCCCATCCAGGTGGTGCAGGCGATGAGCGTGGTGGGCACGGCCCTGCTGGCCCCCCTGTGGCTGCAGGTGACCACAGTGGCAGGGCAGGAGCACTCTGTGGCCTTCCTGGCTCTGGCCTTCGTGCTGGCGCTGGCCTGCTGTGCTTCTAACGTCACTTTCCTGCCCTTCCTGAGCCACCTGCCGCCTCCCTTCTTGCGGTCCTTCTTTCTGGGCCAAGGCCTCAGCGCTTTGCTGCCCTGTGTCCTGGCTCTAGTGCAGGGTGTAGGCCGCCTCGAGTGCCCACCAACCCCCACCAATGACACCCCTGGGCCCCCCCTCGACTTCCCAGAGCGTTTTCCCGCCAGCACCTTCTTTGGGATCTTGTCCACCTTATTGGTCATTTCAGCTGCCGCCTTTCAGGGTCTCCTGCTGCTGTTGCCATCGCCACCGTCTTTACCCACGGGTGGCCCAGGGCCTGGCCTGCGGGTGGGAGCCCCAGGAGTGGAGGAGGAGGAAGAGGAAGAGGAAGAAGCCTCACCCCTGCAGGAACCCCCCAGCCCAGCTGCAGACACCACCCCCAGCCCAGAACCTGCGGCCCCCAGGCTGCTCTCCACCCACGGTGCCTTCTTGCTGGGCCTGCTGGCCGTCACCAACGCTCTGACCAACGGCGTGTTGCCCGCTGTGCAGAGCTATTCCTGCTTGCCTTACGGGCGCCTCGCCTACCACTTGGCTGTGGTGCTGGGCAGTGCTGCCAATCCACTCGCCTGCTTTCTGGCCATGGGTGTTCTGTGCAGGTACACAGGGAGCCCAGGCCCCTCGGGACGGGATTTAGGGGTGAGGGCCGGGCGAGGCACAGCCAGCTCTGAGTTTTGACTTACCCTTGTCAGGTCCCTGGCAGGGCTGGGCGGTCTTTCTCTGCTGGGCATGTTCTTTGGGGCCTACCTGATGGTGCTGGCAGTCCTGAGCCCCTGCCCGCCGCTGGTGGGCACCTCCGCAGGGGTGGTCCTTGTGGTGAGTAGTCTGGGAACAGGGCAACAAAAAGGGTGGCAGTCGGGAGGGGTTTGCCTCAGAGCGGGGCATCTCCGCTCAGCCTGCTGCTGTGTCCACCCTCCCAGGTGGTGTCGTGGGTTCTGTGTCTGGGCGTGTTCTCGTACGTGAAGGTGGCTGCCAGCTCACTCCTGCATGGTGGGGGCCAGCCGGCGTTGCTGGCCGCTGGCGTGGCCATCCAGGTGGGCTCCCTGCTCGGCGCCGTGGCCATGTTTCCTCCCACCAGCATCTACCAAGTGTTCCGCAGCGGGAAGGACTGCGTGGACCCCTGTGGCCCCTAAGCGTAGTGTGGGGGACGCACTTTGCTCCCCCCACCTGTCTTCAGGGTGCGGCTGCCACAGAGACTGCTTGTCCACTGCTTCGGGAGGCCCGCTTCACATGCAGCCTGCTTATGGACAGTTGCACACTTCACAGGCGAACCTGGCACTGCAGGCCAGCTGGGGGACACAGCAGGCTCAGAGCCAGAGCCCAGCTGGGGACGTGGACTTGGCCCAGGACCTGTGTGAGATTTGTATAATAAAGCATTTTTATTCCATGAGTTGGAGTCGATCCCAGGAACAACTTCTGCTGTGCCAATAGACCTCCTCTGATTTGGAGCCACAGTCTGACCTATTCAGGAGGGGCTGCCGCCCCCTGGGGCAGTGTCTGGAGATGCCAGGTTCATGGAACCCTGTCCTCTGCACACAGAGAAGTGCCCAGAGGGACAGAGAAGACCTGCTCCCAGGGCCTGGGGTCCGGGCCAAGGACCCACACAGGTTACAGCAGCCAGAGGCTGTGTGGTGGGCCAGGCCAGCCAGACACGAGGGTCTGGCTGCATGGGCTGCCTGCTGGTTGCCGGGTCTGTGGCCCAGGTGTGGCAGCATTTCCCTGCTGCTTTATGGAGGATCCTGCGGGGGGGTGGGGGGTGCGGATTTACACCAGGGGCTTGTTGCCAGGTCCCTGTGTGGAAAGGGCTCTGTGAGCGGGACTCAGAAGACTGGGGTGTGAGGGTTCGGCCAGTCTTGGGATCCTTCTGCCCAAGGATGTTGCCCACTCCCCCAAGCCACCTGTCTTGTTTTTAGCTCCTGTGATCAAAGCTGCCAGGCCCCAAGCCATTATTCAGGTGGACGTGACAGCGGCTGCCTTCTCTCTGGGCTGCTGGCAGATGGCCCTGGCTCTGCACAACCCACACTGCCCCCAAGGCCCCAGGACAGCGGTCCGGGTCTCTGCTTATTGGCGTCTGTAGGGAGCCATGCTGTCCCGGACTGGCGGGCTCCCCTACTGAGGGCTGGCACAGCCTGCAGAGAGCCCCGAGCCGGGAGGGGCTGGGCCTGGGCTTCTGCTGTCTCCTCTGTGCCTCCTGGGCAGTTGGGGAGCAGAGAGAGGCCTGTTGAGGACAGGCTCCCAGCGGGGCCCTGAGCTGTGGTCCAGTGGGACCAGCCTGGTACAGAGACCCTGTTCTCACAGACAAGGCACATGCTTCCACAGGGGGCCCTGAGGCCCATGGTGTGGACTCTGGGGGCAGTGGTGCCTGCCTGCCTTGCCACCCAGCCCCCTCTGGATGCCCTTTCTTAACTTCAGAGGCCGGCTGTCCTTGGCTTAGGGAAAATGTGGGCCTCTCAAGGCCTTCCGCCCTGGCCTTGGCCGGATCAGCTGAGCAGGAGGAACTTCCTGGCGGGAGAGAAGGATTTCCAGGCCTTGACCATCCAACAAGCGTTCAGTTGAGCCAGGCTCCCACAGGACTTAGACAGCCCAGCCCTGAAGACGGGCCCCAGTGGCGCTAACTGCCGGGCCACTTGACCTGACGGGACTGGGGAAGAAGGTAGCAGCAGCTTGACTTTCTTGCATTTGGGAAGCAAGGTGACAGACAGCTGTGAGTTAGGAACATTGCCTTTGGTTGCAGTGAGCAGAGGCTGAGGGCATGAAATGGGTGGTGTATCCCACCCCGCACTCCCTGACACTGCCCTCGTCCCTCCCTTGCCCACCCTGGGATGGCTCCCTGTTCCTTCCTGCCCCCTTCTCCTCGTGTTGGGAGTCCAGGGAGCCTCTGCTCTGCCTGCCTGTGTGTCTGCCAGGTGTGCCAGGCTCCGTGGAATGTGCATGGTCTGAAGGCGGCGGGCAGGGGGACTGGAGGGGGTTTGAGGAAGCTGCCGCCTTTTGAAGTCTCCAGGACATTCCGGTCAGCGTCCCCGAAGGAAACAAGCGGGGGCCCAGAAGACAAGGGGAGGAAAGGCCACGGGGCCAAATCCGGGAGGGCCACTCGCTCGGCACGCCCTTCCCGCTCTCAGCCGCCTAGCGATGAGGCCGGGAAGCGGGGCAGCCCACCATGCCAGCCCCTCAGAGCACAGTGTCCCCCAGGACTGCACCCGGGTGCCATGCCTCCAGCTAGATGGCATGTGGCCAGCCATTTGGCCTCCCAGCCCTGCCCAAAGGGTCTCTCTTTAAAGGAGACCCCAGACATTCTGTCCACTGCACTTTCCAGGGGTCTCAGAAGCATCTGTCGTTCTAGTGGGTTATTAATCACAGACCCCCTCTGGCCCCCACCCTGTGGCTGGGTGCTTGACCCAGCTGATCCAGCCGTGGTGCCCACACCAATTGAAATGAGGGAGGAGAGGTGGCCCTGTGGAGCACATGAGGACCCAGTAGATTGGTACTGGGTGTGTCAGTTGTCCCAAGAGTTGTAAAAACTACCCAAACTACTTGGTGCACACCAGACGGTGAAGACACCACATAGGGAACAGGGCAAGGGGTAGAGAGAGCCAGACCCTGACAGCATCCTGCAGTCACCTGGATCCAGCTGTACCTGAAGCTAAACCCCTTGGCCTTCCAAGTTAGTCAGCCCACAATTTTGTGCTTATTTGAGTTGGTTTCTATCTGTCACAGTTGCAAGAGTTGTGAGGTCCTCTTTCGTCTCTGAGCATCTGGACCATTCAGAAGTTCGCACGCCAAGCACTGGCTGACATTACCATGCCTGGAGGTGGATCAGTCACCGTCCTGCAGATTCTCCCATCCTACTCCCCATGTCAAGAGCCCTAGGCTTTCCTAGGCGCTCCCACCAGCTCCTGAGCAGGATGCTTCGCTGACCACTTCCACCCTGCAAAGGAGAGTTTCCTGGAGGTCAGACCCTCTCAGAACACCTCGAGCCAGGCTAGGTGGGGAAGGAGGCAGGACCTTCAGCTGGACTATCCAGACAAAGCCCTGGAGGAGGTTTCTGTCTTCATATTTCCTCTCCTTTTGCAAGCGTGGCAGGAGAACTGAGCTCATTAGAAAGCAGATTGCAAAAGAGCCCCTACCTGACCCCTCACAGGTGTCCTGCTACCCATGTCCCCCCCAAGCGCCCACGCCACCCCACACAGACTTAGGTCAGAGGGATGTGAAGAGATGCATACACCAGGGTACTCAGGCATCCAGAGGAGAAGCAGGCAGATCCACACATGAAGGTGTCTGCTCTCTGTTTCTATTCAATGTTGCACTGTGGGTCCTGGCAAGGGTTGTTACACAGGAAAAAGAAATAAAACTATCCTCAGATGACATGATTCTATGTATAGAAAATAATAAGGAGTCCACAAAGAACTTGTTAGGACCAAAAACAAATGCAACCAAAATTTGCAGAATACAATATCAATATACAGAAATCAGTTGTATGTTTCTATGTGGTCAGCCAATGAGCTGAAAGTGAAATTAAGGAAAATTTTTTTCACAGTAGCATCAAAAAAATAAAATACCTTAAAATGAATTTAACAAAGGAAATGCTAAACTTATACATGGAAAACTACAAAATGTTGACAACAATGAAAGACATGAGTAAATATTCCTAGATCAGAAGACTTCTGTTGTTAACTTGGCAATACTAATCTACAGATTCAAGTAATCCCTATCAAAATTCCATCCGGCTTTTTTTGAAAAATCAACAAAAAACCAAAAAACTAATCCTAATATTCATAACAAAACAAAACTCAGGAGACACAGAATAGCCAAAACAATCCTTTTTTTGTGTGTGCCATGCCACAGGGCTTGCAGGGTCTTAGTTCCCTGACAAGAGATTGAACCTGGATCTTTGGCAGTAAAAGTGCTGAGTTTTAACCACTGGACCGTCAGGGAATTCCCCAAAACAATCTTTAAAAGAATATAGTTGGCTACAAAACTACAGTAATCAAGACAGACATAGGTCAATGAAACAGAATAGAGAGCCCAGAAATAAACCCACACACTTAACGATCAATTAATCTACAAGAAAAAGAGACAAGAATATTCAAAGGAGAGGTGGGGCTTCCCAGGGGGCAATAGCTGTAAAGAATCTGCCAGCCAATGCAGGAGAATATACAAAGGGGAAAAGACAACCTCTTCAATACATGTTGTTGGGAAAATTAGATGCTACAAATATTAAGACTCAAAACTGGAGTACTTTCCCACTCCAGATACAAAATAAACCAAAAATGGATTAAAGACTTAATGTAAGACCTGAAACCATTAATCTCTTAGAAGAAAACATTGTCATCGGCCTTGGCAATTTTTTTGAATATGCCTCCGCGAGCAAGAGAAACAAAAGTAAAAATAAATAAATGGGACTACATCAACCTAAAAAGCATTTGTACAGTAAAGGAAACTTTCAGCAAAACTAAAAACCAGACTACTGAATGGACAAAGATATTTGCAATGGATATATCCAACAAGAGATTAATATCCAAAACATTCAAAGAACTTACATGATGCAACCTCAGTAAAACAAACAACGCAGTTAAAAAATGGGCAGAAGACCAAAATAGACAAAAGAAGACATACATATGGAGAGCAGGCACATGAAAAGATGCTCAACATTATCAGTCATGAGAAAAATCAAAGCCACAGTGAGATTTCACCTCACACTCATCAACAAGAAAACAAAAAGTATTGGAGAGAGTGTGTAGAAAAATGAACCCTTGTGTGCTGTTGGCGGTTATGTAAACTGGTGCAGCCACTGTGGACAATAGTATGGAGTTTCCTCAAAAAGTTAAAAATAGAGTTACCACATGATCTAGCAATTTCACTTCTGAGTTTAACAAGAACACTCATTAGAAAACATAAATGAACCCCTATGTTAATTGCAGCTTTACTTACAATAGCCAAGATACAGAAACAATCTAATTGCCCACTGGCAGATACATGGATAAAGAAGATGTGCCCCATACATTACACACACAATGGAGTGTCAGCCACAGAACACTGTCCTTGGGCTTCCCTGGCAGCAGAGTGGTAAAGAACCTGCCTTCTGATGGAGGAGACACAAGAGACGCAGGTTTGATCCCTGGGTCGGGAGGATCCCCTGGAATAGGAAATGCCAACCCACTCTCGTATTCTTTGTTTTTTCCACTCCAGAATTTTTGCCTGGAAAATCCCATGGACAGAGGAGCTTGGCGGGCTACAATCCATGAGGTCACAAGGAGTTGGACACAGCTGAGCAACTGAGCATGATTAGCTACAGAACAGAATGGAATCTTACCATTTTGACAACATAGATGGACGTAGAGGTTATTTTGCCGAGTAGAGCGAGTCAGACAGTGAAAGACATACCGTATGATTTTTCTTATAAGTGGGACTAAAAAGCATAACAAGTGAACAAACATATGAAAACAGAAACAGACTCATAGATGCAGAGAACAAACAGGTAGTTGCCAGAGGGGAGAGGTATGTGGGATGAGTGAGATAGGTGAGGGAGATTAATAAGAGGTACAAGCTTCCAGTTACAAAATAAGTGAGCCAACAGGTATGAAATGTGCAGTGGGGAATATAATCAATAATGTAGTAGTGACTTTGTGCAGTGACAGATGGTAACTAGATTTACCCTGGGGATCGTTTTACAATGTACAGAAATGTTGAATCACTACATTGTTCACCTGGAACTACTGGTATTGTAGGTCAATTATACATCGAGAATAAACTCATAGAAAAGGAGATCTGATTGGTGGTTACCAGAAGCAAGGGGTGGGGGGAGGCAGAATTGGATAAAGGTGGGTAAAAGGTACAAATTTCCAGTTGTAAGACAAGTACTAAAAAAAAAAAAAAAAAAGACAAGTACTAGGGGGACTTTCCTGGAAGTCCAGTGGTTAGGGCACCATGTTTGACTGCAGGGGGTATGTGTTCGATCCTGAATTAAGATTTTGTATGCCAAGCGGCAGGCTTGTCAGGTGACACTACTGGTAAACAACCCTCCTGCCAATGCAGGAGACCTAAGAGACATGGGTTTGACCCTTGGGTCAGGAGGATCCCCTGGAGAAGGGCATGGCAACCCACTCCAGCATTCTTGCCTGGAGAATCCCATCAACAGAGGAGCTTGGTGGGCTACAGTCCATAGGGTCGCAAAGAGCTGGACATGAGTGAAGTAACTTAACATGCACACATGCCGAGTGGCACAGCCAAAAAAGGTAAGTATTAATACTAGGGATGTAATGTATAACATAATTAATTAACTGCTGAATGTTACATATGAAAGTTTGTCAGAGTAAATCCTAAGAGATCTCAACATAAGGAAAAAATTTTTTTATCTGTTATTTTGTGTTTATACAAGATGATGGATGTTCAGTAAATGTATTGTAGTGACCATTTCATGATGCATGTGAGTCTAATCATGCTGCACACCTTAAACTTACACAGTGCAGCATCAGTTACATCTCAATAAAATTGGAAGGAAAAAAAGCATTTATATATATGTGTGTGTGTGTGTGTGTATGTGTGTGTATGTATGTATATACATATGGGCTTCCCTGGTGGCTAAGACAGTAAAGAATATGCCTGCAATGCAGGAGACTGGGGCTCGATCTCTTGGTTGGGATTTACAAGATAATGTAAAAATACGTAGTCATATATTTCACATAATATATATAGATGCAATAAAATTTTAAAAGCACTAAAAAAAAAAAGGAATAAAGTTGCAAGAATCTCTCACACTTCCCAATTACAAAACTTACTACAAAGTTATACTAGCAGAGCCTTCCCTGATGGTCCAGTGGTTAACACTGTACTTCCAAGCAAGGGGCAGGTTCGATCCCTGTCTGGGGAACTAAGATCCCACATGCCACAGGGCAATGGAAACACTCCGGCTGCAATGAAGACCCGACTCAGCCAAAAAAATGGAATCAATCGATAAATAACAGTTGCTTCTCACCAACTCACCTCCCTGATTCTGATACTGAGACTTTTACTGAGTCTTACTCTTCGCAGCAGCATAGATATTTGCACAAGTTCAGTTAGAGTCAATCTTCCTTTTTACCAAGACAGAATTGGAGAAATTTCCTGTGTGCTGGAGGCCTTGTAAATGGCCACACCAAGAGGGTGGCTCATTAACAGGTGTGAACAACTTCTAGGGAATGTGGGTCGACCTCCTGGAGTGAATGCCTACAGAACACTCCCAGGGTTTCACACTCCATGCATTATAGGCAGTCGGGAAGGCCTCTTCCTAGCAGGCTCACAAACAGAAATTCCCTCATATGATATACATTATGTTTCTCACCTGGGATAACAAATAACGGAGGCCTTTGAAAGTCCAATCTGAGAGTTTTTATAATAACTTCTAGCAAAGCAAACTTACGGCGGCCTGCGTGGTATCTTAGAACCCTTAACTTGTGAGCCAGGACCTCATTTTGCAGCAAGAAAAGCGAGACTTGAGCAGTCAGTCACCCTAATCCATCGCATGGAAGTGCTGGGCTGGAAAGGCTGCCCCTTCCCCGCCCTGGGTTCCGCTCCAGCTGTCGGCGCTGACCCCCTAGTGGGGTCTCTTCTCCCTCCCGGCTTCTGCCCTTGCTGTGAAGTCCTGGGGGAAGAGCTGAGCTGACCTCCCCAAGCCTCAGCTTCCACTGGGGGTTGGAAAAGACCCCAGCAGCAGATTCTGGGGACGACAGAGGAGGAGATGGCTGATGGCATCACCAACTCGATGGACGTGAGTTTGAGCAAGCTCCGGAAGTTGGAGATGGACAGGGAAGCCTGGCGTGCTGCCGTCCATGGGGTCGCAGACTCGGACACGACTGAGCGACGGAACTGAACCGAGCGGTGTCTGACCGCGTGCCTCGACGGAGCGCCGGTCCTGGCCCTAAATCTAGTGGGCCGGGAGCCGCCAGGGGGCGCCGCTCCACTGCGGCAGCGGGACTACTCGGGGCGTGGCCTCCAGTCCCCGCCCGCCCGTCGGGACGGCGCGCGCGTGCGCACTGCACCCCTCCCGCAGGGCCTGCTGGGCCGGCGGCGGGCGTGCGGCGTGTGTCGAGCGGGAGCCGAGCGGCGGACAGAAAATGTGGAGACCTGTGAGACCCCGCGCGCTCGCGCCCTTGCAGCGGCTCGGGTTACCCGGCCGGGACCCGCAGGGCCCGAGACTCTCCCCCCCGGGATCTTCCCGCCTGGCCGGCACCCACAGGGCTCTAGGAGGAGCCCGTCACAGCCCTCAGGCAGCCTGTCCTCGGGTTCCCGCTTCAGCCCCCAGGCCCTGTGGGGGGGACGTCGGGCCTTCCCCGCCGCACGCCGCATCTCCGCTTCTCAGAGGCTGCTTCTTGGTGCGGGAGTCTTGTCTCAGAGGCGGGTCTCCAAAGCCTCCTTCCCCGCGAGGGACGACCCTCTTGTCCCTTACGGATGCCCCTCCCCAGGGAGACGCCCTTTCCCGAGGCGGCTGCCTGGCGCCCATCGCCTCCGTCTGCCCCATGTCTGCCTCAGACCCCTCGCCGCTGCAGGCTCTGCCCAAATCGCAGAGCGGATCCCCCGCCCTTTCTTCACCTGCTCCCTTGGGCACCCTTTTCCCCTTGTCACCAACCCAGCCCGGGTCATCCCGGACTGGCCGCTGCCCCCCGCCTCTGCGGAGACAGGACTTGCGGGGGCGGCAAGTGGGCTGACAGCTGCTGCGGCCCGCCTCTGTCTCGGGGTCACCCCTCCTCCCGCCCTGTCTCAGAAAGCCCCTCCTCTCAGGCCTTCCTAGGTTCTGCTTGGCCCTGGGCCGCCCTCCTAACTCAGCTTCTTTTGATCCTGAACATGGTACCTGCCTTTCCAGTCCCCCCCCCTCCCGTTTTATTGCCTCTCCGCCCTTTGAATTAGTACCTTTCAAATTGGGTGTCATGGTGGTTGACCCTGGTCTTAGCCACTCCCTCTCCAAAAACCTAGCCCTTCTCTTGTGCGGTTTGTTTAGAGGTGAGGAGACTGAGTGGGGCTCATCACCATTTTCAACATGGAATATTCTGTAGACCTCGTAGTTTTCTAATAAGCCTAGCCTTGTGGGTTTAGGTGTTAGTACAAATGAATGTCCATTAGCTTCTGTGGCTTGTAGAGCGGCTCCATTACACAGAGGTGTTTTGTGGGTGAGATGATGAAGCAGTGTTAGTCTGAGAGTCAGGCAGAGACAGTGAGTTGGTCTTTTATAGTTTATAAAGCTGCTTCACTCATTCAGGTCACTCAGTCCTCTAGGCAGCCCTCGGGAGTGGGCAGGCAGGCTTTGGCTCTTGAGCAGGAGATGCTCATGACCAGTAAATAGGGCAAGGCCCAGTAGGCTTCTGAGTCCTGAGTGGTGCTGAGGGTGTCAGAGACCCTAGAAAAGCAAAGGACAGGGTGTTCAAGGTCATCTCCACTACCTTTCCTGGGCCCAGATGCCCAGTCTCTCTTCCTAACCTTGAGAACAATTCAGGCCCAGTGCTTTGGTTTACTCTCCTGCTATGTGTGCAGGGCTGTTGACCTGCCGTTACATCGCCCAGATTCTTGTCACCTCTTTGTAGTTTCAGGTCTCATGAGATTCAGCAGTTGCTTCTTTCTCCTGGGGCCTGGCTTATCTGCAGTGACTTTTCAAATCTGCTGTGTTTAATCTACAGGGTGTTAGAAAAACCAACAGCTCAGCTTGTGCCTAAAACATGAATGCAGGTGCTCATGGTTCTGTGTTGATGTGCACATGGAGTTTGTGAGCTCTGTGCTCCTATGGAACTCAGCTAACAATCTATCAAGAGTGACACTGCTTGATAGATTGTTAGCTGAGTTCCATATGAGCACAGTGCACCCGGGCCGAGAAAAGGCCCCCGTCATCTTGTCCCAAAGCGGGAGGCTTCAGGAGTGAGAGGACCATCCCAGGAGGGCCGTGCGTGCCGAGGAGGCAGCCTCTCTGTACCTGTTTGCTGCCGCTCTGGGTGTGGTGGGGGTCACATGTGATGCGTAGGTATTGCCCTGGACTGGTTCCTGGAAGGTCTGGCTGCTGGCTCTGCCGCATTTATAGCTCTGTGACCCACGGGTGTCTCCTGGGTGGTGGGGATATTTGGGGAGTTGCCGGCATCCAGCTGGCATGAGCCAGCACGCTGGGCCCTGTGAGGGCTCTGGTGTCGTCAGCAGAGGCCTCCTTCTCTCTCCCGACTGTGGCCTTCCACCTGTTGCTCAGCAGCATGGCCTAGGCCATGTGGGGTTCTGGCTTTTTCTCCACTTAGCCACCGTTTATCTCAGTTCAACAAGTGTTTGTGATAAAGAATTTCTGCTGTATCTCGGAGATGATTAAGAGATGGCCCTGCCCAGCCTGATGGGGAGAAAGCTTGCAGGCTAACCTGAGCTCCTGTGATAAGGACAGTGGGGTGGGGTGGGGTGGGGTAGAGTGGGGGAGCAAGGAACCCTGAGATTGGGGGGGGGCAGTTCAGGCAGAACAGCGGCCTGGAGAGTAGGCCTGGATCAGGCTCCTCACGGCTGTGCAGGGTCTGCCAGAGGGACGTTCGTCCCAGGCGATTGAGTGAGGGGTCAGGGCTGGGAATGAGGCAGTGTGGCCAGAGCACCTGCTGCGGTGCTGACTTCTCAGAACACAACAGCTGCTCTGGGGGCTGTGTTCAGGGGCCGTTACTTTTCTGGCCGTGCCCCCTCGGCATCGGCCATGTGTCCGGAGGCTATGGACACTGGTCTTCAGCTTCCCTTCCAGCCCCAGCCGGTGGTGAACAGTGGTCAGGAGGCTATGGGAGCAGCCAGGGCCCTGAGCTTTAGAGTTAGTAATTCAGGTTCAGCCTTCTCCTGTGAAGAGAACTGTGTGTTTAATACGAACATGATGTGTAAACTTACTTGTTAGGTGACTTGCCTTTTTCTCACTGGACTCTCCTACTAATGGCTCCAGGGACGGTGTGCTCCGCCTGATGGCTGGTTTGGGGATGGGAAAGGTGCGGGCTGGGGAAGCAGTTCGGTCTCCCAGCCTCTGGCTTCTCTGCTGTGCTGTGGGCCATGTGAGGAAACAAGCCCCGCCATCAGAAGTGTCTGTCTTTTGTTGAGCACCTGTTAGGTGCCAGGGTCTGAGCAAGGCACTTTATTTCTGCCATCTTTCACCTTTCCAGCTTGGCAGGGGTCAGCAGGGAGTCGCCCCCCAGGCACCGAGTGAGGTCGGTGAGGCGGGTAGACAGGCCTGTGTTGCGGTGCAGGGTTCAGCCCTCAGGGACTCGGCCCCGCTCTGCAGCACCTGTCGGCCCAGGGGTGCCGTTTCCCTGGAGAAGGACCGACTAGGGTTGCACATGCTTCTCCTTTGGCAGTGTCCTCGCCGTGTGACCCGCTGAGTCTCCCTGATGGACTCTGGGCCTTCCTCAGGTGGAGGCCTTGATGGCAGTGCCTTCTCGGGGCACCCTCCTCGCTCGCAGTCTCCTGCTGCCCCTGAAACACACCCGGAGCCCATGTGTGGGGTCCCTGGCAGAGGAGGTGTGACGCTGGGCTCAGCTGTGGTCTTGGAGCCGCTGTGCCTGCCCTCTGGTGTGGCAGCCCCTTTGGGCCTCACCTCAGCCTTGGTGCCGGCAGCCTTGGACCTGCAGGTCGTTGGCATGCTGGCTAGAATAACTTGTGGATCTGTCCTTTCCTTCTCTCTGAATGGTAGCGTCTCTGGGTAATCATTAGCAGTCAGCTTTGGCCATTTTCCTTCACTGTCTCAGGTGTGTCCCCACTGGGACTTGGCAGCGGCCATCCGCTCCAGAGCTGAGTGTTTCTTTATTTGCGTATATAATCTGCTCCATGCTTTCTAGGTGTTGATCCTGACTCATGATGGTGTGGAAGTGATACATGTTCAGTAGAAAGTCTACATCCAGCTTTGAGTCTGACCTTTTTCTGGACCAGCGGCAGGAGGTGGATGCCCTCTTTGATGTTGGGCTGCAGCTGCAGCAGCTCCCCGTCAGCCTACAATCGCCAGGGAGCCCTGGCAGTGTCCTGTTTTCACTGTTAGTGCCATGTGCAGTCAGTTACAGAAGATGGTCCATACTTCAGTGTAAACAGGCTTTGTGCTAGATGGTTTTGCCCACATGTGAGTGTTCTGAGCAGGTTTCAGAAAGACCAGGCTAAACTTCGGTAGGTTCAGTGTTTTAAATGCATTTTCAACTTCTGACATTGTCAACTTACGATGGGTTTAACCCTAACCCCATCATAAATAAAGATCTGTAGTCTGTTTTCTCAGTTTAGTTCAACCCAGCAAATAAGTCCTTGTTTGTGTTAGGGGTGGCCTGCGGAGCTGGGAGGGCAGGGTCTCTGGGAGGAGGGTCCCCAGGAGGGCACGGGGGACCAGCAGGCAGTTTGGCGCAGTGAGGAGCACCTGGAAGGGCCTGCCCACTCCTTGGCCACAGGCTGGCCTTGGCGGTGCTTCACCTGCCCCCACACGGCACTGCCCAAGGGCTTTCCAGATGTCAGTTCATTCGCCTGCACTGCAGCAGTGCCGTGGTCCCAACCCTGCAGACAGGGAAACTGAGGCGCAGAGGGAAGGAACTTACCCACAGGGCATGGCTGGCAAGTGCTGGAGCCCAGATTCAAAGTCTGCCCCAGCCGGCCGGCTCGACCCGCAGCCTCGGCCTCAGCTCAGCCTGAGGCTCTGGGGAGCCCACGCGGTGGCTGGTGGCGAGCGGTCCCCTCGATGCCGGGAGCGCCTCCGCCCCGGGCTGTGGCCACTCAGCGTCTCCGGGTGGTTCCAGGTCTGCCTGGGCCCACCCCAGCTGCCTCGCCTTCCCGGTCGGGCTGCAGAGTGCGGCAGATGCACTATCCCTGCGACTGCGAAAACGGTCACGTGTAGGTCCCCCAGAGTTACTTACCCAGGTGCTGTCGCCTCGGTCTACCAGTGTTAGCATCTGGCTCCAACTGATCTGGGTCTGTTTGAAACCATATGTATTTTGTTGTCGTTGCACCATTTGAAAGTAAGTCACAGACCTTGACGCATAATCTCGACACTTCATCATGCACCCCTAGAGGAGGAGGGTATCCTCTGATGTAACCACAGAAGCCATCTCACCTCAAAATCCTGACTGTGGCTCTCTGCTGTCTGTGGTCCCACAGGTGTTTCATAGGCGTTTTCTTTCAGACTGAGGTTCAGTCAGGGTTCTTGCTTTGTATGTGGTGCAAGTCCACCCAGGTTTTTTCTTGCGACTCTATAAACTTCTAATGAAAAACAGGCAGTTATTTACAGGAAGGAGAGAGAACTGACAAGGGCCAGTACTGGGTACCTATGGTTCTCAACGCGTGGACCTGAGCAGCTTTCCGGAGAGGCCGGAGTGCTGTGTGAAGAGTGCCCCACGCTCAGGAATTCTCCTGGTCACAGAAGCCCCAGGGCTGCAGGCTGTCATCATTTCTTTTTCTGTGGGTTTATAGTCTCTTTGAGAAGACTGAGCCGCAGCAGACCGCTGCCTGGCCGGAGGTGCAGCCGGCTGGTGTGAGGGGAGTGGCGGCCTCTCGACTTGGGCACCGGCCTTGGCCCACATGCTGGCTCCTCATGCCACCCCCCTGAGCGCCCCCGAGCTCTGCCTTGGGCTGCAGCCGGTCTTGCTGGGCATCTGGCCCTGCCTGCTCCTGCGCCCTCCCTGCACGAAACCCCTGGGTTCCCTTGGGACACCCCATCTGGCTGCAGCTCCAGTGTCCCAGGACTCGGCTTCACAGCCGGGCCAGCGCAACACACGCGGGGCCCGCGCCACCTGCTGCAGGACAGTGGTGGTGGGAGGGCCTGGAGGAGCCTGCAGCCAGTGCGTCTCCACTGGGCCCGGCGCAGAGGGCACTGCTGGGGAGGACACGGGCTCGTGTTGTCAGCCGGCGGGGGGCGGGGGCTCGGAAAGGGTGGGCCCCGTCTCTGGCGGCTGGCCCTCACTGCCCATCTGCCCGAGGCTGCCTCTGTGGCCCCTGCGGGGTTTTCCTTGAGGATCTACACTCACTGCGGGTGGCCTTGGGGAGCAGAGCTCTCTGTCAACCCCTGGTCTCCTCTGAGGACAGTGGGTCATGGACCTTTTCCTTTGACTTTGGTGTTGTTTTGTATCCTTGAAATTGTCTCCAGGGCTGTGTGCTTTGGCCAGAAAGTGATTGGAAAGTCGGTTCCTTGTTTGGCTCAGATTTCATTAGAATAATGTTAACATCTGTGCTCTGGGCTATGATTTAGCTTGCGAAATCTCTTTTTGTCCCCGAAACTGAGACTGTTTACAGTTGGGGAACCTGAGGTTGAGAACACTTCAGGTCTTACTCCAGTAAGATCGGGAGACCGAGGCTGACCGTGGGCTTGGCAGTGCCATGGTTTCTTCCGTGCCCCTCAGCCAGGGCAGCTCATGGGGCCTTGACTTCTCTGCCTGCCCCTGGCTGTGCCCCCCCCCCAGCCCCCCACCCCAGGTCTCACCATGGGGGCTCAGAGACACATGTTCTTGCGTTTGTTTACTTGCCCAGTGCCAGCCCCCGAGGCCCTGCCTCCTTTCTGATCCTGACTCTTCCCTGGGAAGCTGCTGGTCTCAGAAGGGGAAATAGGCAGTGAGGGCGCCCAGGACCCCACAGGGAGCCGGGGCCAGGGCCTGTTGGGGGCGGCCTCCTGGTGCGGACGCGGCCTTGCTTCCCTCGTGCAACACCTGGCCCTCGCCCGCGCTCTGAACCTGGAGCCATCGCTGCTCTCGAGTCAGACGCACGGGCCTAAGAAGCACAGATGCTCTGCAGTGATGGGTCACAGGGGGCGGGGCGGGTTCCTGCCGCCAGCCCTGTGCCCTCTGCTCCTTGCAGGCACAGCTCTGCCGCTTCCACTCAGCCCTGCTGCGGGGCAGGGCCAAGCCCTGGCCGTCCCCTGCCACCTTCTTCCGGAGGAACCTTGCAGCCCTGCCAGCAAGGTGGGGAGCTCGCCACAGCCACCCTCTGGCACGTGCCCCTCACCATACAGGGCGCCCTCCGTTGGGGGTCGTGAGGCTGGACCTTCTCTGCGCGTCTCCCCACAACAGGCTGTGCTGGCCTCCCACCGCCAGGGCCCCGGTCTGGGACCTGACGGGGGCTGTGGGCTGAGAGTGGTGGGCGGCGTGCCTGTTGGAGACCCAGGGGCAGCGAGGGTGCAGGTGGGAGGGTCCAAGACCCGGGTGGACAGTGGGCAGGATGGAGCCCACGTGGGGTCCAGGCCTCTGTGGGGCTCAGTGGGGTGACCTGGACCCAAAGTCGGTGCCGCCTGCCGAGGTCCTAGTGCAGCCGTGGTGCCAGGGGCAGAGCCACCCGGGTGACTGGACCGCACCCGTGTCCCTGCAGGCCCCTGAGGCCCCAGCCGCTGTGGAGGAAGGTGCTGTCAGCCGCAGCCCTGGGGGCGCCCCTGCTGCTCGGGGCACGGTACCTGACGGCGGGAGCCCAAGAGAGGAGGCGGATGCGGCTGGTGGTGGACGGCGTCGGGCGCTTCAGCAGGTAGGGCGGGCGCGGCCGAGTTGGGGGCTGGGGCTGCAGGGTTCTGCTGGGAGCTCTGGCGCTGCACGGGGTGTGGCCCCCACAGACCCACCTCTGGCCACTGTCTTGTCTCCCTTCTGACTGCCCCTGCGGAGAGCTCGGGGTGCGGGGAGCTTCCTCCTCGCCTCCACTAGCAGTGGCCTGGACCAGCGCCACGCCCTGCTGGTCACTGGAGACTGGGGCTCCTTAAACTGAAGGCTGCCTCACGCTCCTGCATCTTATAGGCAGGATTCTGGGGGCGGCGGGGGCGGTCTTCCTCCTGAGAAGCCTGGGCAGGCGTCTTGCTCCTGTCAGGTCCAAGACTCCTGCTCACAGAGGCCTGAGAGCCAGCTCCCGTAGTGGGAGACCTCACCCCACCCATCCCTGCCGAGGGGCTGGGAGGCGATGGCCCGAGGCAGCTCTTGGGCAGTGGTGGGTTGGTGCCCAGTGGAGGATTAGGATGCCTAGGAAGTGGGGCGTTTGGTTGCCGCTTCATTGAGATTTACCCCAGCGGCAGCTACAGGTGGGTGGACAGACAAGCACCTCACCTCCTTCCACCTGTGGGTTTGCCTGGAGCTCCTGGTTGCCCTTCTGGGCAGGTTCCAGGCAGCGGCCTCTGTGTCCTGCCATGTTTCCCAGTCTCCACAGCCCAGAGGTGGGTGGGGCCAGCTCTCCCCTGAGTGGCCCACAGGATGGCGGGGACCGTCCCCGCAGCATCAGTGGGTCCAGGCCGTTTCCCCTTCCAATTCGTGTGCTGCAGTCCCCCGCTTTAGGTGTAGGCTTGGCACACTCACCCACTCCTCCTCCCACCTTCAGGGGGTTTTCACAGCCAGTTTTCAGAAGCCGAGCTGGGACTGAGTGGCGGGGTGCTAGAGCAGTTACCTTCCCGACCAGCTGCGCGGCCTCCTCAGCCCTCAGCCCTGACAGTTGCCAGAATGGGTGGGCCTGGGCGAGCCCTGGTGGGTGCAGGGCAACCACGGGGCCCCTGGAGAGCTGGGAGCCTGCAGCGTGCTGGCAGGAGCCCAGGATGTCGGGCCCAGCTCTCCCGAGGGCGGCGGGCTCGTCCTGCTGTGGCAGGGAGACTGCGATGCAGCGCACACGCCAGGCCTGCTCACGGGGCCAGGATGCTTGAGGGTGGTTTCTGACCCCACCTCTTCCTTAATTTTAACTTTACAAATTCTGTGGGGTTTTGGTTTTGGTTTTTTTGGACACAGTTTTAAACGTCCAAAGAAGTTAGACTAATAATACAACTTTTTTCTTTTTGAAACATGGACAAGTATGTTGTCAACGTGCCCCATTATTCCTGAAACCTTGAGTATTTCCTAAACAAGGACGTTCTCCTCCACAGCCACAGTCAGGGAGCTGACAGACACATTGTGACCCTCTAGCCCTCAGACCCTGTCCTGTGTCATCAGGCCTTCCAGTAACAGCCTTTTCCACATGAGAATCTGTCTGGACCCATATCTAGCCTCCTCCAGCCTGGAACAGCCCTGAGTCTCCACGGCTCCCGTGGCTAAACTCAGGCTCAGGGCATGGTCCCCAGACCCCGCCTTGCCCAGGGTGTCTGACGGCAGCTGAGTCCCAGCGTCCCCATGGGTTCCCTCCTCTCAAACCACAGGCTATACATGGGGCGGTCCCCACCCTCCCTCAGTTTTGATAGTTTTCCTAGGATGGCTCAGAAAATGCCATATTGATTTTGGTGTTTTTACTGAAAAAAGGTTAAGTTAGACTCCACAAGAACGAGGTGCCCCGAAGAGGTCTGGGCAGCCCTGCCTCAGAGTTTCCGCACTCTTGCTTCTGGCCCCCGACTGTGGTGTCCAGAGTCTCTGCCGGGGCTGCGTTCCATAGGCCTGACTGAGCGAAGACCCTGAGTTCTATGCCGCGGTTGTCCTTTCTGGCCAGCATCAACTGCCTCACTCAGGAAACCTCTGGGTTTATAGGAAAGGGGTCACGTTAGTTCTGCATCATATGATGACCTTGACCTGTCTGTGGGCCATCAGGCCTTACAACACCCTGGCCCTGTGCCATATACACGGTCCGAGGTGCTGCCCACTCTGTAGAGTGAGCTCCTTGGAGGACAGCCCCGCCCCCTCCCCTGCTGAGGCTGCCCCCCGAGGCCCAGTGTTCGCTATCTGACCTTTCCAAGAAAAGCTTTGCTGAGCCCCGACGTGCGTGTGTCTGATGTGTGCTCGTGGTTTGTCTCACATTTGGCTTTTGGCTTCCCTCGTGCTTTGACGCGGGTGCCCTGCCCCCTCCTGTGGCTGCTGGTTTAGGGCCTTCCCTTCCGGTGTTTCTCCAGTGAGCTCGTCCTCCTGGTTCAGCCGTCCCATCCACCCCTAGGGGCTGTTCCTCTATCAGGGAGCTCTGTCCTCCCGTGTGTTCCCCCAAACCTGGTCGCATCAGCCTGGACTGGACACATGGTGTCACTGCCGTCTCGTTGCTCTGACTCTTCAGGCTTGGTTCCTAGGAGCCCCTGCACCTGACTTGTGAGCCTCTATTTTAATCTCTACAATTTTATTGTAAATAATTCAAATGTACAGCATTTTATCTCTGACATTTCTGAATCCTTCCGACGTGATCCATCCTTCGAGCATTTTACTCCCGCTGGCACCACAGTCACTCCAGGCTCAGCCTTGCAACCATCCACCCTCAGGACAGGCAGGGACCCTGGCGTGGCGCCAGTGTGTTTGCTGCTCCTTGCTGCGTATGCACTCCAGCTTCTGTAGCCCGTTGTCAGTGGTCAACGTGCTGTTCCATTTTCAACACAAGTCCTCCGGGTTTCTGCTCTTTCTTGTCTGTAACCTCTTCTTTACCTGGGAGACACCCGGCTGCCCTTGTCCCTAAAGTAGTGACTTATTAGGTCACCTCCCTGAGTGTAGACGTCACCCCACCACCCGCACCACACCGTCAGCCCCTGTGCAGACCTTGCGTTAGCTTTTGGACAGAGTACTCAGGAAGGAGGGCAGCTCCCTCAGGTCCAGGGAGCTCAGAGAAACCTGTGTCCTTGCTCACCCTGCTGTGTTCAGACAGTCCTTTTTGCTGGAGTGGCTGGGTGGACCTAGTTTGTGGTGCTCAGTGAGGGTCTGGAGCCTGGTTTCGGATCCTCCCCTCTCCAGATCCGGGGCTCCCGTGTCCACAGCCTGGGTTGCAGAAGGGAGCGATGACCCCAGCCTGCACCAGAAGGCCGGGGCCTGTGGGACTGCTTGGGGTGCGCCCGCGGCTCCGGGGCTTGACCCAGGGCTCCAGTCCACAGAGCGCAGCTAAGTGCCGAGGAGGCCGGGCTGCTGTGCAAGGGCTGAGTCAGCGTGTTCACAGACAGGGCGGCTTTGCTCGAGGCTGGGCTTTCCAGTGTAACAGGTGCTATCAAAGAATGAAGGAACATGCCTGCTCATTGGGGTCCGCGCCGCCCTGCTGTCCTGGGCCCTCCTCATCTGTGTGCAGGGACCGCGGGGTGGCGTGCGTGCAGGCTGCCCAGTGTCCAGCCCAGGCGCTGAGACGGACCTGCTGGCCACGCAGTCCCGAGAACCCCATGGCACCCCCCAGGTGCTCACAGCCGCCCGAGGCGCTGGTGGGGTGCCTGCTCCGTGGGCCAGCTGGGGCTGAGGGCACCCTCTGCCTGCAGGTCTCTGCGGGTCGGCCTGCAGATCTCGCTGGACTACTGGTGGTGCACGAACGTCATCCTGCGTGGGGTGGAGGAGGTTTGTGCCTGCGTCCTGGCCAGCCCATCCTGTGCCTGCGGGGTGGGCATGCCTGGGGGCAGCAGGGGCCTGCCTGCCCCCATCCCTGCCCTCTCTACCTGTGGTCAGAACAGCCCGAGGTACTTGGAAGTGATGTCTGCGTGTCATCAGCGGGCAGCTGACGCCCTGGTGGCGGGGGCCATCAGCAACGGGGGCCTGTACGTGAAGCTGGGCCAGGGGCTCTGCTCCTTCAACCACCTGCTGCCCCCCGAGTACATCAGGACGCTGCGGGTGCTGGAGGACAGGGCCCTCACGCGGGGCTTCCGGGAGGTGAGCCCACCCCCAAGGGCGCGAGGTGGGCAGTGTGGCCCCATGGCGTCCCACATGCTGCTCAAGGCCCGTGCCTCCAGGTGGACCAGCTGTTCCTTGAAGACTTCCAGGCCCCGCCCCATGAGCTTTTCCAGGAGTTTGACTACCAGCCCATTGCCGCAGCGAGCCTGGCCCAGGTGCACCGTGCCAGGCTGCACGATGGTACCGTGGTGGCCGTGAAGGTACGAGGGATCCCTGGGGCGTGTGGGGGGCGTGGGGTGCCGGCGGCCGGCCCTCCCTGAAGCCTCCCATGCAGGTGCAGTACATTGATCTGCGGGACCGCTTTGACGGCGACATCCACACCCTGGAGCTCCTGCTGCACCTTGTGGAGCTCATGCACCCCAGTTTCGGCTTCAGCTGGGTCCTCCAGGTACTGCAGGCCAGGTGGCTGGGGTGGGCTGGCTCCCAGGATGGAACCCCAACTGCCCGTATGGTCCCCAGGACCTCAAGGGGACCCTGGCCCAGGAGCTGGACTTTGAGAACGAGGGCCGCAACGCTGAGCGCTGTGCACGGGAGCTGCAACACTTTCGCCATGTGGTGGTTCCCCGCGTGCACTGGGGCATGTCCAGTAAGGTGGGCTGGGCCCCCACGTGCACTGGGGCGCGTCCAGTAAGGTGGGCTGGGCCCCCCCTGGGTGGTGCCTGCGTGCACTGGGGCACGTCCAGTAAGGTGGGCTGGGCCCCCGCATGAAGTGGGGCACGTCCAGTAAGGTGGGCTGGGGCCCCTGCGTGCACTGGGGCGCGTCCAGTAAGGTGGGCTGGGCCCCCCTGGGTAGGGGTGTGGAGGCCCACGGAGCTCTGACAGCTGATCTCTCCCAGCGCGTGCTGACGGCAGAGTTCTATGAGGGCTGCAAGGTCAATGACGTGGAGGCCATCAAGAGCATGGGGCTGGCGGTGCAGGACGTGAGTGCTGTGTGTCCCGGGCTGTGGGGCTGGACTGGAGCGTGTGGCCCGAGTCTGGGGTGATGGTGTGTGGTCTGACCCCATCCCCACCCCGGCCTGTCCTCGGCCCAGATTGCAGAGAAGCTGATCAAGGCTTTTGCCGAACAGATATTTTACACGGGTTTCATCCACTCTGACCCCCACCCTGGCAATGGTAAGGAGAGCCCCAGGGCTAGGGGTGGGGCGCTGGGGGCCGCACCCCAGAAACAGGGAACTAGAGCCCACCCATCCCCAGTTCTGGTGCGGAAAGGCCCAGACGGGAAGGCTCAGCTGGTGCTGCTGGACCACGGGCTCTACCAGTTCCTGGACGAGAAGTAAGCTGGGCCTGTGGGCTGGGTGGGCACGCCTCCCACCCCCAACGCCCCCCCCCCACCCCGCTCACTGCTGGGCCCGCAGGGACCGGCTCGCCCTGTGCCAGCTGTGGCGGGCCATCATCCTGAGGGACGAGGCGGCCATGAAGGTGCACGCGGCCAAGCTGGGAGTGCAAGGTGAGGCCGGGGGGTGGGTGTGTGGCCCGGAGGGGGCACAGCCTGGCTCAGGCCCCCCCAGACTACCTCCTGTTCTCCGAGGTGCTCATGCAGCGGCCCGTGCGCCTGGGGCAGCTGTGGCGCTCGCGCCTGCTGAGCCGCGAGGAGACGGCCTACATGCAGGACATGGCCCGTGAGCACTTCGAGGAGGTCATGGCCGTGCTCAAGGCCCTGCCGCGCTCCATGCTGCTCGTGCTGCGCAACGTCAACACTGTGCGCGCCATCAACAACGCCCTGGGTGCCCCGGTGGACCGCTACTTCCTCATGGCCAAGAGGTAGGGCCGCGCAGCCCGGGCTGGGGGGCGGGCGGCTGTGCTCACCTCACGCGTGGTCTCCATGCAGCGCGGTCCGGGGCTGGAGCCGCCTGGCGGGTGCCATGTATCAGAGCGCCTACGGCGCCAGCATCCTGCGCCATGTCAGGATCATCTGGGAGACGTTCAAGTTCGAAGTGGCCCTGAGGTGAGCTGGCATGTGGGGGTCGGAGGACCGGAGGCCAGGGCCCACTCCCCACCTACCTGCCCCACCCCGACCCCCCACAGGCTGGAGACCCTGTCGATGCGGCTCACTGCCCTCCTGGTTCGAGTTCTGGTCTACCTGGGCATCGTGCCTGACACCAAGGAGGGGCTGTCAAAGTACCTGGAGACCTAGGGCATCCCGGGCAGGACCACAGAGCTCGTCCCACCACGTGCCCGGCCAGGGCCAAGTGACTGTGATTTGTTGGAGTACCGGATGCCCTGGGGCCCCCGAAATAATCACAACACTCTTCTGAAAACAAGTGTTTTTATTTTGTACAAAAAGGGGGTGGGGAGAGTGGCCGTATCCAGGGGTCTAGAAATGGGCAGTGACTCGGTCCGTCTCCAACAGGTCATCCAGGATCTGCAGAGAGAGAACTGGGTGAGGGCGGGAGGCTGGCTGAGGGCAGGCGGGGGTGGGTGGGGGTGGCTCACAATGTCGGGCGTGGTGCCGATCTTCTTGGCCAGCTCCCCGCGCTCCATGGTGCTCAAGTACAGGTAGCGGTTGAGCAGCTCCCCATCCAGCACGTTGCGCACGGCATTTTGTAGGACGCGCCTGTCCACGTGCAGCATCCTGGGGGTGCGGAGGGCATAGGCCATGAGGGGTCTGGGCTGACCCAGGCGGTCTGGTTGGGTTGGGGGTGCACTCACCGGAAGGCGCGGGGGTTGAGGCCAGCATGGTGGGGCAGCATGGTGGTCAGGGCATTCTGCAGCATCAGCAGCCGCCGGTAGGTCTTCTCCTGCATGGGCAGCAGCAGCCCGATGCCACCGTCCAGTGTGGCTGAGGAGACAGGGAATGAGCCCAGTGCCCCCGCCACGGCCCGCTGCCCCCACCCCGGCCCCATGCTCACCGAACCACGTGATGTGCTTGTTTTCCCACACAACAGACTTCTTGCTGGGCCCCTCAGCAGCCCCCCGGCACGGGGTCCTCCAGAACGTGTTCACGTGGGCACCCACGTGGAAGTCCGCCCGGCGCAGCAGTCGCATGCCCCCAAAGCTCTCCTTGGCTGGGCCACAGGGGACCTCAGGTCACTGCCTGCCTGGCCCCTGCCTGACCCCACCCAGCAGAGGAGGGAGGGAACACTCACCTTCCGGCAGGTACATGTAGACCATGAGGTTGCGGTCACGGTCGGACACTGGGGAATCAGAGCCAAGTCAGCCCCTGTGCACACCCAGGGGTTTCAGGTACCCCAGGTCCCAAACTCACCCAGGAAGCCCAGCTGCGCGTTGTCCACCATGAAGTCCACACTGTACACTTCCAGGGGCTTGGCATCCTGAGGACAGGAGGGCCGGGGAAGGTGGCCATCAGGACGGCCTGGGCCAGCCCCCAGCCCCTACGGCGTGCCATGGCCCCCTCCGCACCCGAGAAACGAGGCTCAGCGTCTTGCTCTCCTCCTGGTAGCGCAGCAGTGAGATGCTCTTCATGACATCTGCAGCCAGGATGAAGTTCTTGACGCTGATCATCTGGTGGATGTAGAGCTGCGTGTCGATGAAGGCCATGCCCGTCAGCTCGCTGGCCCGCAGGCTCCATAGGAAGATCTGGGGGGGGGGGTGGCGGGAGTGAGTAGCTGAGGGTTGCCTGGAGGGGCGGCGGCGAGGGGGGTGCTGGGGGGTGCACACCTTTTGACCAATGGCCGACACCAGATGGCCGTTGCAGTGGCACAGGGCGGTCACAGGGCCCTTCTGCTCCTTCTCGTACAGGACCTTAAACTTGTTCTTGGTCAGGGGCTGGCCAGGCTCAGGCACCACCTCGATCACATCCATGATCAGGATCTGCCGGGGAGGTGGGTGGCTGAGTCAGGGTGCCAGGCACTGCCTGCCTCAAAAGCCACGCTGGCCACTTACCCGCCCTCGGCACGTGACCTCCTCCCCTTGCATGAGGCAGGTCCCGGCAGCCACGTAGCCCTTGAGGCCTGACACGGTCTCCTCGCTGCGCAAAGACACGGTCTTCATGCAGGTCACGTGCTCCCACTCCTCCAGCTCGATCCTGCGGGCGGAGCCCCGGTCAGGGCCAACCCCGGCCCGCCCCGCCCCACCCCGCCCGGGCACAGCCTCACCTGGCGTTGGGGATGGCCTCCCAGCTGACAGGGGAGATGAGCTGGATGCAGAAGGCCTCCTGCTGAGGGTGGACGTACCGCTCATCTGTGAGGACAGAGGGGGACCATCAGGGAGGAGCGGCCCCCGGGACAGGCCCAGCGTGGGGCCCCACGCACCTCTCTCGATGGTCTCAAACTCCTTCTCCTCGCCCGTCATGCGTGGAACGCGCGTGCAGGGTGTGCTGGTGCTGGTGGCGACGGCGTAAACCTTGGGGAGAGCAGGGCGTCAAGAGCCAGAGCCCACCCCAGCCCCAAGGGTCCCTGGCCGAGTGGGGGCAGACCTTGGACTCCACGTGGTAAGCCACGTAGTGGGCGGTGCAGCGCAGTGGGATCTTCCGAACAGGCCATGGGGCATCGTAGGACAAGTAGGCGGGCAGAACGCTGATCCTCAGCTCGCCCTGGGTGGGCACACGGGTGAGGGAGGCCTGGCACCCACTGAAGGCCGAGCCGGTGAACCCAGGCCTCCGAGGGCTCCCAGGTCAGCCCGCAGCTCTGCTGGCACAGGGGCAGCGACAGAGGCTACGGCCTGCTGTCGTGTGCTTCATGGGCTTCCTATGCATTCACCCAGGTTTGCCCAGGGCTGGCCACAGGTGTGGCCGAGGCTGGGCTCAGGGGGCGCTGGAGACTGCAGGCACAGGGTGGGACACACACGCGCACGCCACGCCAGCGTCTGCACACAGGGCCCGCCCAGCGGCTCCCCTCCAGCCCGCTCCTAAGTGCACCGGTGCCTGCCAAGTGCTTGGCGGTCCACAAGGGCCACGGCTGTCCTCTTTGTGACATGAGGAGGCTCAGGGTACGTGAGCACCCTGGACAGTCACCCGCCACCTCGGGCAGAGCTGGGTGCCCAATGGGCAGACCAGTGACTGAACTCGGCTGCAGCCCTCATGGGCCACACCCTGCACTGCCGACCTCCCTGTCCTCCAAGCTTCTCCAGTGTTCAGCCCCATGTCACCTTGATCTTGGCTCCCACCACCCACCGGACACCCCGACTCTCCATGCCAGGGTGCCCCCATTCCCAGCCATGTGTTGAGGGCCTCTTTCTTGGGCCCCAGCACCTGGTCCTGCCCAGTTGTCCTCAGAGGGGGTTGGCATGCCTGGCCGGGCCTCGTGGGGCCTCCCTACCTGTCTGTTGAAGTACAGGAACCCTCGGGGGCAGTTGACGTTGTGGAACGGGGCAAAGGAGTCGATGGGGCCATCGATGCCCATGGGGTGCAGCCGCAGGGCCCCCCGGCCAGTCACCAGTAGCCAGTGGGGCGAGGGACCGCAGATGAACACCTGGGGGCAGACAGTGTGAGGAAGCCCCTCACCCTGTGGGGGGAGGCCCCATGCTTGCCAACCCTGCCCTGCAGAGCAGCCGGCCTACCCCAGAGTAGCCGTAAATGTCCTCAAAGTAGCGGAATCGCGCCACGCGGCCGCGGGGCCCTGTCCCCTCCTCCACGCTACCCCCTTCCACCTTCTTCTTGGACGGCTTTGGCTTCTTCTCCCGAAAGTTGATGTTGTGGGGGACCTGGTGGGTGCTGCAGTAAGGGCCAGGGCCCCCAGCCTTGCCTCACCGCCCCCACACCCAGCCCTGCCAGTCACTGCACCTTCTTGAAGCGAACTTTGAGGTTCCCCTGGCCGAGCTGTGAGTCGTGGGGGAAGGCCTCGTAAATGAGGAGCTCCTGGTCCACATGCACCTGGGGACAGGGGATGTCAGGAAGCAGGGCCCGTGGGCGGGCCAGGGTGGGTGGGCGGGCGAGTGACTCACCAGCAAGTAGGGCCGGCGCTGGCGACTCCCCAGCGCCACCAGCAGCACCTCCTTGACCAGGGGCAGCTCGCCCTGGCGCGTGGCCTCCTCCTTCCGGGCTTCACCCTGGGTGGTGGGCTGGCCAAAGGAGCTGTCCACCAGGACGCGCTGGCCCACAGGGAAGTTCTTCACCAGGAACACGAGCCGCCAGTCGGGGAGCTGGTAGATCTGTGGGGCAGCGCAGTCAGTTGGGGGCGGGCGCCGGGCAGGCCTGGGGGGCATGGGCGTGGGGCACCACCCACCTCCATGGCACCGTTCTCCCGCACCAGCAGGCACCAGTGGGTGGGCTCAGCCCGGAAGGGCGCAGGGTCACGGTCAGCGGGCGGCTGGCTGCTCCTGCGCGCCTCCTCCTTGCTGGGGCTGAAGAGGGAGCCCGAGTCCCCGTAGAGCATCTCCTCCTCATCGTCCACCGTGGGGCTGTGGTGGTGGGCATCATAGGTCACAGCCCGCAGGCGCGTGGCCCACCCGCCCCACCCCCGCCCCGCCACCCTCACACACCTGGTCTCCACACCCTGGCCCTCAGCCTCAGGGCCGCCGCGGCCCCCCAGCTCGTCGCGGACTCCACCCAGGCGGCTCTCGGTGGTGAACATGCCACTGACATCCCGGTACAGGCACAGGGTGATCACCTTGGACTGCTGTGGGGAGGGCGGGCGCTCAGCCGGGGAGGGGGCGATCGGGCAGGGGCCAGCAGGCCCGGGGACAGAACGGGGCACCTACGTGGTGCAGGGACGGCTTGTGCAGCGCCAGGCGGTGATGGCGGCCCCCGTATGAGTCACTCTTGAGCAGGAACATGGTGACGTGGCCCTCGGCGCTCATGATGACCACGTAGGGGTCGGCCACAGCGCACTGCACAATGGGGGAGCCCAGGTCCACGGGGATGAAGTGCAGCTGGTTCACTGCAGACACAGGCCAGTCAGCACAGGGCAGGGAGCATGCGTCAGCCCCGGGCCCGGGCCCACCTGCCCGAGCCCTGGCCCACCTCCTTCCAACAGTCGGATGCCGAGCGGCGACACCTGCACGATGTAGCGATTGTCCCCAATGTTGCCAGCAAAGACTGTGGGGCCCTGGGTGGCAAAGCCACTGGTGTCCAGCTCCATGATCTCCTGCCCCGTCTGGAGGATCTGTGGGCAGCAGTGGGTGAGGGGCATTGCTCACAGCAGGGCCCCAGCCCGGGCTCCGGGAGCCTCACCATGGTAGAGTCTTCCCGGCTGAGAATGAGGAACCCGTGTCTCCGCCCGTCATCCTCGGCTTCGG